ATGCCCAATTGGTTACAGGGTCCTTTTCTTTCATCAGAGGTCCGCGAGACGGGAGGTCATTCGAGAATGATAAGCCTTAGGTATGGGAAAACAATCTATTCTAGGGCACCCCCAAAAGGGTGGTTTTCCTTGAAGCTTTTCTTTAAACCAACCAGAAAGGTACCAACTGCAAAGAAGACATCAAAATCGTAAGAACTCCTTGAAGCTTTCCTTTAAACCCGCCAAAAAACAGGTACCAACTCCAAAGAAGACCCCCTAATTGTCAAAACTCCTTCAAGCTTTCCTACCCGCCAAAAGAAAGGTACCAACCCCAAACAAGACATCCAAATCGTCCAAACCCCTTGAAGCTTTCCTTTGAACCCGCCAAAAGACACGTACCAACTCCAAAGAAGTCCATCAAATCGCAAAACTTCTTGAAGCTTTCCTTTCAACCCGCCAAGAGACACGTACCAACTCCAAAGACAATCAAGTCGTAAAACTTCTTGAAGCTTTCCTTTGAACCCGCCAAAAGACACGTGCCAACTCCAAAGAAGACACCCAAATCGTCAAAAATCTTGGAAGCCTTCCTACCCCCCAAAAGACAGGTACCAACTCCAAAGATGACACACAAAACGTAAAAACTTCTTGAAGCTTTCCTTTGAACCCGCCAAAGACACGTGCCAACTCCAAAGAAGACACCCAAATCGTCAAAAAAATTGGAAGCTTTCCTACCCACCAAAAGACAGGTACCAACTCCAAAGAAGACACACAAAATGTAAAAACTTCTTGAAGCTTTCCTTTCAACCCACCAAAAGACAGGTACCAACTCCAAAGAAGACCCCCACCAAAAGACTGGTACCAACTCCAAAGAAGACCCCCTAATCGTCAAATCTCCTTGAAGCTGTCCTACCAGCCAAAAGAAAGGTACCAATTGCAAAGAAAACACCAAAATCGTCAAAACTCCTTGAAGCTTTCCTACCCACACCAAAAGACAGGTACCAACTCCAAAGAAGTCACACAAAACGTAAAAACTGTTTGAAGCTTTGCTTTAAACCCACCAAAAGAAAGGTGCCAACTCCAAAGAAGACCCCCTAATCGTCAAATCTGTTTGAAACTGTCCTACCAGCCAAAAGAAAGGTACCAATTGCAAAGAAAGCGCCCAAATCGTCAAAACTCCTTGAAGCTTTCCTACCCAACCAACACGCAAAACGTAAAAACTTCTTGAAGCTTTCCTTTAAACCCAACAAAAGAAAGGTACCCCCCAATCGTCAAATGTGCTTGAAGCTGTTCTACCAGCCAAAAGAAAGGTACCAATTGCAAAGAGCACACCAAAATCGTCAAAACTCCTTGAAGCTTTCCTACCCACCAAAAGACAGGTACCAACTCCAAAGAAGTCACACAAAACGTAAAAGCTTCTTGAAGCCTTCCTTTAAACCCACCAAAGGAAATGTACCAACTCCAAAGAAGACCCCCTAATCGTCAAATCTCCTTGAAGCTGTCCTACCCACCAACAGACAGGTACCAACTCCAAACAAGACACACTCGCAACACGTAAAAACTTCTTTAAGCTTTCCTTTAAACCCACCAAAAGACGGGTACGAATTCCAAAGAAGACACAGAACACGTAAACACTTCTTGAAGCTTTCCTTTAAACCCACCAAAAGAAAGGTACCAACTCCAAAGAAGGACCCCCTAATCGTCAAATCTCCTTGAAGCTGTCCTACCCACCAAAAGACAGGTACCAACTCCAAAGAAGACACACTCACAACAAACTTCTTGAAGCTTTCCTTTAAACCCACCAAAAGGCAGGTACCAACTGCAAAGAAGACACACAACACGTAAAAACTTCTTGAAGCTTTCCTTTAAACCCACCAAAAGAAAGGTACCAACTCCAAAGAAGAACCCCCTAATCGTCAAATCTCCTTGAAGCTGTCCTACCCACCGAAAGACAGGTACCAACTCGAAGGAAGACACGCACCACGTAAACACTTCTTGAAGCTTTCCTTTAAACCCACCAAAAGGCAGGTACCAACTGCAAAAAAGACACACAACACGTAAAAACTTCTTGAAGCTTTCCTTTAAACCCACCAAAAGAAAGGTACCAACTCCAAAGAAGAACCCCCTAATCGTCAAATCTCCTTGAAGCTGTCCTACCCACCGAAAGACAGGTACCAACTCGAAGGAAGACACGCACCACGTAAACACTTCTTGAAGCTTTCCTGTAAACCCACCAAAAAACAGGTACCAACTCCAAAGAAGACCCCCTAATCGTCAGATCTCCTTGAAGCTGTCCTACCCACCAAAAGACAGGTACCAACTGCAAAGAAGACACACAACACGTAAAAACTTCTTGAAGCTTTCCTTTAAACCCACCAAAAGAAAGGTACCAACTCCAAAGAAGACCCCCTAATCGTCATGGAACACGTAACAACTTCTTGAAGCTTTCCTTTAAACCCACCAAAAGACAGGTACCAAAGAAAGCACCCAAATCGGCACTCCGATGTTACACCATTTGCCTGAGGATGCATCAGGTGGCCTCCATCAACCAGATCCTGCGGCAGGAGCATCAGGCACGGATCTGGGGTCCTATGCTCCAAGATCGACCCGTCACCCTCGAAAGACGAGTCCACTTGGGGGTATTTTTTGGGGGAAGGGGATGCTATTTGTGAGCTTGGATTGAGTTGAAACCAAAAGGAACCAAAGCCATGTTTTGTTTTTTGTTGTTTTTGTTTTTTGGGGCAGATCCTGAGCTCTTGAACTTTGAATAGTTTTTTCTGTCCTGGGCACGTGCAAGGGCCTTGGAACCTCGGTGAGGAATGGCATCTCAACAGCTTGTCTTCCGGGGTCCCCAAGGACGGGGCAGCCCGTGAAGCACGCCAAGAGCTGGGCCGAAAATGAGCAAACGAGCAACAACCTATGATGAAGGCCTCTGAGGAATTCCTTTTTTTTTGGTCCGGGAAAGTAACGTTCGCTTCACACAGCATCTGATTTGCAACCAAATTTATCCCATAATGAAGATCCATTCTTGGGGGTGTCCTTCTTTCAGATATGTGAATTACGGTATATTGGCCATGCAGGACTCTTTATCAGAAGCCCTACACCACCCGTGCACCGGTTGTGAGTGACCTTAGTAATCCTTGGTGCGCTCTGCAATGTTGAGGGGGGTCCTGGGTCCTCTACTGGGTACAACGAAGCAATCGCACAGGAAGCTGTTGCCAGTGCGGCGGCTCGCTATGTTTCCAATGCTGACCCCTTGATAGATCACGTCTCGAGTTATTCGTCGATGCTCTTTGTTTTGACCTCGAACTTTCCAAATGTGCTCAGCAACTGTCAAAGCTGCTTCAGCGAGCAGCGCCCAAAGCCCAGTTTGGCCAATTTAGGAGATGGCTCAATAGCTTCATGGCACTGGTTGTAAGGATTACATAGCACATAGTTCTATGGGATTTGTTTTTTGTAAGGCTTCTACACAGCCTTGCCCATGTCGGTTTTCACACCGAAAGGTCAAACTGGTGTTCGTCGCTCGAGCGACTCGGTTCGCGCCCCGGAGAGGCTCAGCAGGAACTGCAGGAGGAGCAAAGCCGCCTGGAGCAGAGGCTCGCGGCTCGATGCGCGCGGCGCTTTTGCGCGTCGGCCGGTGTCGAGGAAAAAGCGACCGGAGGGTGGGGTCTCCTCTAGGTCCCCCAGTGCCCTTTCTCAGCCGTTTCTTTGGTTGGTTGGTTCCAGAAAGGCTTTGAGGCGAGGTCTAGGTCCCCAGCAATTGGTGCCCCTTTCTCACCCGTTTCTTTTTGACTTGGGAGATTCGGTTCCCCTACTAAAATAGACAGAAGAAAGTTGGTACCCTTATTCTAACCTCCCAAATCTGGAGGACCTAGTCATTTCTCACGTCCTGAGTTCCGGGGCTCGGACTTGATCGTCGATTTGTTGGGTTTGGAAAGGCCATGTTCGTGGAAAACAACAAGTTTGGTTACTGGTTTTGGTTTATGCACTGAGGAAGTGAGTCATTGGGGGGGGGTAGGGAGTGGGCCAAATTGCAAGAAAGAAAGCTGGTTAACCTGATGGAAACCACGAACCCGAAAGCTAGCGTGGCATGTATTTTTGTGTATGCCTTTGCTTATCCATTTGCCTGCCCATTGATATTGATTTGTCTATGTATGCATATACCTATTCATTCATGCATCTATCTGTGAATATAATATATGTTGTTTTCATTTGCCTACCCATTTGTCCATCTATCAAACCATCCACCTATCCGTCTATCTTTTTGTTTGTCGCCATTCCTTCCTGACTGCCTGCCTGCCTCCCTGCCTGCCTGCCTTCCTGCCTTGGGTGGTTCGTTGTCATTTATGTCCTGTTCATGTCCTTTCCTTCCTTCCTTAGTTCTGTTGTTGCTTGGTTCTTTCTTTCTTTCTTTCTTTCTTTCTTTCTTTCTTTCTTTCTTTCTTTCTTTCTGTCTTTCTGTCTTTCCTTCTTTTCTTCTTTTCTTCTTTTCGTTTCTTTTCTTTTCTTTTCTGTCGTTCTTTCTTTCGTTCTTTCTTTATGTATTTTCTTTCTTTCTTTCTTTCTTTTTTTCTTTCTTTAGTTTTTCTCATTTATGTATTTCCTGTTGCTTTCTCTTTTGTGTTTCTTTTTCTTCTCTGTCTTTCTGTCTTTCTGTCCGTTTGCCGGTCTTTCTTTCAGCCTGTCTTGGCATTCTTTGCCACATATACAAGGGAGCTAGGCGGCTGGAGGCGGGGGTCAATGCTGCTTGACAGGCAAGAGCAGTTGGTGAGCTTGCTGCAGGAGGCAGCTGCGGCCGAGGACTGAAGTATGTGTTCTGGACTAGGTCCCCCAGTGGTGCCCTTTTCCCCCTTTTTTGGAGGAGGGTTCCCCTAGTAAAATCGACTACAGAAAAAAGGGTACCCTTATTCTAACCTCTCTACTGGAGGACCTAGTGGAGTTGGTGCCCATTTCGGGCATTTAGGGGTTGAAAGGGAAGTGAAAGGCACACATCCCCTATGGTTACCCGTGTTGAGACTTGTCTTGGTTCAGAGAAGCAAAGAATCGACTTGCAAGCGATGCGACCTTGGAGGATTTCTGGATCGCGCTGTTGAACTGAAAACTACCTAGCCCCGTTCTCCCGTCCCTGCGGTCCCTGCTTCCTTTGCTACTGGTCGCATGTCAAAGCTGCGTCCCAAAACCTGGAGGGCGCTGAATTGCGCAGACAATAATTACATGGTGCTCGCACTGATTCGAATTGGGCCACGAAAAATGCAGGTTGACCATGTTGTCCGGCGTGCAGATGGGTGGTTCAACTACAATGCAGGCCCATATGCTTGAATTGAACAACTACAGGGACAAACACCTGGTTTCTATTGCGAAGCCCCCTGGAAAATGAAATTGAGGGAGGCGGGTGACCCATGTATTTCCATTTATGGTTTCATTCTCACTTGTTTATGGGGAATCTTGGATAAATGGAATTGGGGGACCCCGACTCAGGTTTGGGGAATCACAGGGATCCTTCCAGGAAACCAAACGGGGATACGTTCAGCTCGGCGTTTCTGCTGACCAAGCAGGTCGCATGTTCACCCTGCTCCCACTTTTCATCCCTAGGACAAAACGAAACCAACCCCACAAAACGGGCTTGGGCTAACAAAACTTGCTGGTGCTCAGTAGGGAATGTGGGAATGAACCTGGGGATTCCTGAAAGGAAACCGCCAGTTCCCAGAACTTCCTCGGCCATTAAATAAATGTCCTTGGGACAACGGACATTTTTTGCTCGAGAAGGGACATTTTTTGCATCCACTATGGAGGCTCAATTTCTTCGAGTGCTCTCATCAGGGCACATTGACGATAGACAAACCATAGACATACCGTAGACATATCATAGACATACCACAGGCAAACCATTCGGGAAAACCATAGGCAAGCAAATAACCGCTACGAAAAGTACGGTGTAAGTCAGGGGTACTTGATTCCGCAGAAGGGGAAACACATTGCAAAATCAGGATATTCACATCAGGTCGAGTCGTAAAGCCGAGATTTGTTGAGCTCGTTGCTCGTTGCTTGTGACCGAAAGGGACCGTAGACAAACCGTAGACAACCCGTAGAAAGTACATTTTCTGCCGTAGACAGTACATTTTCTGCCGTAGAACGCCCATTTTTTGCCGTAGAAACGACATTTTCTGCACATCCCGTTTTTGCACCATTTTGGTGTTAATTTGCGGCACGTGACTTCACAGGACTTTGTAGCTCTTTTCTGGCTTGGCAATTGCCAATATGCATGCATGGATCGATGGATGTATGCTGGACCAGTATACGCAGAAATCAAACAAACAGTTCCCGAGCCGTGCCCCATGGCTGATGTTGGCAAGTTTCTGCAGAAGGCAGTGCGAAGCGCACGAAGCACTCTCAAGCTCGGCAAAATGGGACTGTGCAGCCCCCTCCAGCTACTTTTAAGTGCGATTTTCGTGAAAATCATGATCCAACCAAAATTAAGCAAAAAAATGCCTTTTCCCAGAAAATGTACTTTGCCACCTCGGCCATTTATTTAATGTCCTTTGGAAGTCTAGGGAGTTGGATGGTTTATAGAGGGCGTCCCATTTCTCATTCCCTGCTGCACCAGCAAGCTATTTACCACTAAATTTGAGGCCCTAGAAAATAAGCTCAGGTGATATCCCCAACAGCACGCGGTGCTCGTTTTAGTGCTCGCACCACCCCGCAGCCCTCGCAGAATCTCGGGAAGCTTTGGTGGAACCCTGGTAGAACCCTCGTGGAACCTTGCCTCAGGGCCGCCCCGGACCACCCCGGAGCCTATCTGGGCTGAGACCCCAAAGCTTTCAGCTGTTGGGGAAAGAAAAAGAAACCCAACCAGACAAACCGGGCTTGGCCTCACAACAACGTCCTTAGTTGCGATCGCCGAACTTCGGGCCTGGACCGCCGGAAGTTCAGGACGACGAGCGGGGCGCCGCTTTGATCAAGGCACTGGCCCAGGAGAACAGCAATCTGCGGTCCATGCTCTTCCCCAGCGACTTGGCGAAGCATTTCGGTTTGTCTCAAGAATCTATCGGTTGATTCCTCATTCTTTAGAACCATTGTTCTTTTCAATATCCCGCCGTTTCCCTGGGTTTACGGGGTTTTCTAGAAAGAAGGATGTCTGGAAAGAATGGGGAAGGTAGCACTAGAAAGATGGGGAACCGTCAACAATTGCAGTTTGCATTTGCTTTCCAACCAAAAACAAGTCCCCTAAAAAAGACACCCATTTGCACCCCAGCCTTAACTATATAGAACCTTTGGACACTGACCCCCAGTTGCCCAGTGGATTCCGCCTCTTTTTTGCATTTTTTTTGGGGGGTTCCCGAACAACTCCACCAGTCCAAAGAAGGACGCCCATCTGAGCCCCGGACCCAAGGAGTCTCACTGCATACCAAAAAATGCGAAGACCATTTTAGTCTAGGACCCCCAGCAATTGGTGCCCTTTCTCACCCGTTTCTTTTTTGGTTGGGAGGGTTCCCCTAAAACGCTAAAATAGACTACAGAACAAAGTGGGTACCCTTATTCTAACCTCTCTGCTGGAGGACCTAGTAGTGGTAAATAGCTTGCTGGTGCTCAGCGATCACCCCCAAAATCCATCCAACTGGTGGTTTCTTTTAAGGGGGCCCCGAGGGCTTTATTCCCACAAGGAGGACCATGCTACTTCATCACCGTCCAACAGGCATGTTCGAGCAAGCGGAGAGGCCGCTAAGAAATCGAGCACTAGAATTTAGCGAAGAGGCCGAAAACTAAAGATGCCGCCAAAGAATGACCAAAGTGGCCCGTCAACTTGACGATTTGCATGTGTTTTTGTTTGGGTGAAAACATGTGTCCGCGTGTGACCATTCTAGGTTGATGTCTTCACGTTCCAACAGTTTTACCTCTTCTTTTTTTTTGGGGGGGGGAAACAGGGTACCCTTATTCTAACCTCTCTACTGGAGGACCTAGCCAAAGCAGATCGACAATTTGTATGAATTTAGGTTTCGGAGAGCTCTGGCCTCAAGCTTGTTGACGGGAAAGGAGTGGTTTCAAAGTGAGGGTCTGAAGCGCGCGGTTATCTCCATAGACCCCTACCCAGGAACAACAGGCCTACGGATGTCAACCCCTGACTAAAACAGATCGCACTTACCATGGAAACTCGATATCTTCATAATCAACCCAAAGAACGGGTATTGTGGGTAGGTCTTAGGCCAAATCCGAATATGGCAAACAGGGTCAGGCCTGACATGTGGCTATATGATCATGATTAATCAGATAATTAATCAACATTCACCAGCCTAATGTGAACTTCGGATTGGTCCAGATCCTTTATTGAAAGGAACCCGCCCCCTGTGAGTTAACTCCCTAAAGGGGAACAGCCACTTCGACTTTTATCTTGGCTGCAGGCATTTGCATTGTCGGACAAGTTTCTTAAGAACGGGGGGGTGGGGGGGCTCAATTTCTTAGCAGCAAGAGCAGTTGCAACCTACCTTGTTGGCAAGTCTCAGCCCCCAATGATTTATCGTCCAGTGCTTGCGCTGTATCATTACAATTGCAACCACATTATTTTGTAAAGGCAACCTATCTTGTTTTGGGTTTCCCTTGGTTTTGGGGCTTCCCCTTGCACCCTTGGCGTTCATGAACAATCAGGACATGAGGGCGTTATTTTCTATGATTTTTGCGATGGGCAAATTGAGGCTATGACCTTAGGACGTTAACACACACCGCCTGATACACGTATTCACCTAACATGAGTTGTTTCTTTCAACAAGAACAGTCGGAGGCGCCTGGGCTAATCGTGTTCCGTTAAGTTGCTTAGACCTTCGGAAACGAATGGATTATTTTCCACTAAACCAAGGGCAGGTTTTATCCCTTTTGCTCATCGTGTTGTGGGGTAAACCTAACTTCCGATTGCTTAAGAATATGTTTAGTTGTCCCCTGTTGGTTTTAAAGGGAATCAATTTCGCTACTCAAGCTACTGTCTCTTTTTTTCAGGGGGGCAAGAAGCAAATGGAGGAGCAAAAACAAATGCATGAAATGATTTGTTTCTTTCAAGAAGAACAAGGCGCCTGGGCTCATCGTGTGGTGGGGGGAAACCGAACTTCCGATTGCAAACGAGGCAACGGCCCAGACATCACCGACTCGCCACGGAAGGCCCCGTGAACTTTCGAATCGGGTCGGTGTCAGAAATCGGCTGGTTTCGCCTTCATGGGGAATGTGTTCATGGTAGCTTTTCCCGGAGTTCCTGCACTTTCGTGACTTGTTGGGTTGACCATTCAGTAGTCCATAAGTTGAGACTGTTGGCCAATCTGCTCCAAAGTGAGTCGTTGAACATAGGGATGTAGGGAACTTGTTTAGTATCAAACAAAAATCCCTTCTCCACGTTTCACTGCCTCTTGCGCAGAGTCTACGCAACTGCCATGGAAAGTGACAAAGGAAACGTCGTCATGACAGACCGGAATGTGCGTTTCTCGAATAGTGGACCCTTGGATGGTCTGAAAAGGAAGCCAGAAGTACCCTACCTGGAGGAAGTGGTCGGGACCCAATTTTGAGACTGGCATCACCTGGGGGGTTCAAGCCACCGCGAAAACCGCCATTGTCTATCTAAGGATTGGGTCGACCATTCCTTCAATCTGGGGTTTCAAGCCAAAGTGAAGAAACAAAAACCGGGTTCATCTACGTAGAACCACCATGGTTTATCCAAGGATTGGGGCCTTGCCATTCTTTCAACGGCGGCGGTTGCCTAGGGATCACGGCGGATTTTTTCCATCGGCAGGCCTTGTCCTCCCGGGCCAGCCGATCTTCCGAGGCTGGATTCGACGCCATCGGCCATGAGTTGGGTGGGAGTCGGCTCTTCATGGAACATGCCACTGGCGATATATTCGCCTCTTGTGGAGAGGGCGGTATTCTAGGGGTAACTTCCATTTCCATTCTTCCAGGGATCCGGATCTTTCTTTACTAGCCACTTAAGTACAGTGCCCCTTTAAGTGGCAAGTGGCAAGTCTTCCGCTCTTTGTTGTCTAGGTCCCCCAGCAATTGGTACCCTTTCTCACCTTTTTCTTTTTTGGTTGGGAGGGTTCCCCTAAAATCGACCACAGAGAAAAAGGGATACCCTTAGTCTAAGCTCTCTACTAGAGGACCTGGAGCCTCTTGTAGCGGACATGGCGGTACATTTTTGTTCGGGAAAGCAAGGCGGTTGTCCATGGGAATGATGATACCTCCTTTTTCAGGGCTTCATCGAACTAGAACTCACTTTTTGAGTGCTTGGACTTCATACTGTTTGAAATGTTTTTTTTGTTTAAGGGGGGCTTTTTGCTGACCAATCAATCCACTCAGGAAGTGAGATAAGGGCCCATATAATTTGAACGGTGACCCATCATATCAGAAGGGAGGGAGGCTGAATGCAAACCCCGGATGAAACAAAGTGGCGCATCCATTGGGCGGGGTGTTTCCTTCAAAACTCCCTGCTTGTAAGGATTATCCTCGGTGTTTGGGTGTTTAGAGGGTCCAAGTACCTGAGGAGCTACCAAAGGACCCTTTTTTCGCCTCAGGCCATTTTTCGGGGGTACTTGGCACCCTCTGCGCCGGTGCCCAAACTCCCACGCCCAGTCCCAAAGGCAATGGTTGGGGGGGGGGGGGGCGGGCGGGAGCCTTTTGGTTGAACCTCGGGATGGCTTTGGCCGAATGAAGGAGCACAAGGTGCCCGACGAATGAAGGGAACACGCCTTTGATTCCTTTGCAAGCCGCAAATCAAAACCTAGGGTTGAAGGTTGGAGGGAGAATGGTTTGTTGGTTGGTTCTAAAAAAACCGTCTGAAGGTTCTAAAAAAAGAAACAAACCATACAAACTCGGCTTTTGCGACCCAGACATTTGTTTGTTGTTTGGTTTTTTTTAGACCCCCCCCCCCATGTCTGAAACGTGTTTTGTGTTTTTTGTTCGGGCTTTGCGAAGCCAACGAACGAAGGAACCGCCGGACATGGCCTGATGAATTCCTGATAGGGCTCCTGTTTACAGAACAACACTGGTGAAGCCCCTAAGACTTGCTGGTTCCAGCAGGGAATGAGTTGGAATGACACCTAGCACGAGCAAAATGATGTGTCCCCCAAGATTTGGCCAAAACAAATACGTGTGACCTAAACATTTCTGCCCACGACTTGAAGAAAGCACTGGGTGCATGTTGTTTTCCGACATGTTCCAGCATATAAAAATATAAAACAATAATGACGAAGGGATAATACGTCTATTATCCCAACAAATACGTCCCTGAGCCCCAAATATGTCCCAAAAGCGCTGAGAAAAACACACGGAGGATGGATTTCACTAAAACAATATCCGGAGTTGGGGGGTCCAGGTCAACTATATATATATATATATACTTAATAACCCTATTCCCCGTGCGGCTTCGGAAGCCGGCACGTGTTTGAAAAGTCGCGTTGAAGGCAAAGGACATCAGGATGAGAGAAACCTCGGAATTTGGCACATGGCGTTTTAGCCCTTTCCCAGGGCTGTCATTTTTCCCATTTATTCCCATGTCAAGCCAAAACAGCATGTGGTGTCCATACCATGTTGGTCCAATTGTTTTTTACAGACTGGGGTTGCAAAATCACCCCCCAATTGAGATTTCGTGAAGTTGGGACTTTTGGTGCTGGGGTGTCCCAAATCCCTGGTAGAACGATAAGCTGTAAAAAAGAACGAGGACATCAAACAAGCAGTAGAGAAAGGATGGGGGGTTTGTATAGCTGCCCCATGTGCAGATCTTCAGTTTCCAAAGGCCCGATCAGGTCTCTTTTCGCGCACGGCGATGGAGTTCATCCTTCAAGCCCCGAGTGCTTTTTTCAAGGAAGGCTAGTGTAAAACGCGTCAATTTCGCGAGAAAATGCTGTAAAATACGACATTTTACTGGCCCGGACGGAAAAACGGGGGGGGAAAAAAAAAACATCCCAAAATAAATCCGCACCCTTTTTTCAGGTTTGCCCACCCAAATTGGAGAAACCGACCAGAAATGAGGCGCCCCCGAATTGGCGGTTTGGATTGGTGGTTCGGGGACTTGAACCTAGTTCCTCTGAAGCCAAGTGGGGAAGGTGCCCTGAACCACCAAACCAAGCCACCTCAGGGGGAAGGTGAAGAAAAGGTGTCCATGGGTTTCCTTGTTCTACCTTGGCGGCTCCCAGCCATCCGGTTCCTTAGCTTTTAGCTTTGTAGTGTTTAGTGGTAATTGCCATTTGCTCCAGTAAAAAGTTGGTCAAATTTTTAGCGGGGGATCTGAGGGCGGCCCAGCTGCAAGGGTCACAAGAGCATAGTTCCAGCGAAGGACGCCTCAGGGCCGGGGACGAAGCGAGGGCACCGATTCGAGCTCACTCAAAATGAAGGCCCTTTGCTGGGGTAGACCCCCAGCCAACCTGCAGCGGAGGGGGGGATCTCTGCTTTCCCGGTGTTGATGTTCCCAAACGGAACCCCAAAAAAGATGGCTATCTTGTTGACTTTTCTCCAGAACTGGGCACCCAATTAGACACCCCTTAAAAGGAGGGGCCATCATAAAGTAATGAATCCCTTTCCATGTTTTTTGCACCCAATTTTACCGGCCCCTCACAGAAAAATTGCGTCAGAAAACCATGAAACCATTTCTTTCGGGCCGGCCGCCGGGTTTTTCGTGGCCAGGACCGGCGCTTCGCATCTCCGGAGAGTCCCATGAGCCCCATCGACTTTCCTTTTAGGACTCAACGATTCGCCGCGGCCGAGGTCGGAGCGGCGAATCTGGTGGATGCGTCCCTAACTTGAAATGAAATTGATTTATTACCTAAGATACCCTCATTGTCCATGGCTTTGGGTGAGACTTGGTTCCCTTTGTTGATACCTGGCTTTTTCTTCCGATAATTATTTTGTGTTCAAAATACCGGCCCACATGGGTTTCCTACGGGTTCTGGGGAAGCCACTTGCTCGCCAGCAGCAGCAGAATTGTCATGGTGGTTGTGATTGGTTTTGTTGTTGCTAGACGTGTTGTTTAGTTGTTCAGGAATTATCATCCTGCTTATTACGAATCTTATGATTTATGATTATTGAGACTAGTATTATGTTATGACTATTATATATTGTTATTGTTGTTATTTTGTGATTATCATCATCATTGCTGATGGACCCCTAATAAGGCGGGCTATGGGGAGGGGGTGACTATCCCTCATTAACCCCTTAAGGCCTTATTAAGGGCTTATCTTGGGCTTGTTCTTGCTGGCATAGCCCCCCCACAGCCGCCCCATGTTTGGGGGGTCCATGCTTGCACCCCTGTACACCATCCCCGGTTTCCTTTCGGACATCCAAAGAACCGGTTCATTCCTAAAACCCGGAACTGTCATTCCCTGCACCAGCAAGTTTAGTCATGATTGGGGGAAGAAACTTAAAGGGCCGGGGTACTTAGTGAGTAAGCCTGCTTATCACCCACTGAAGGGAGACTTACAACCTTGGTAAGTGGGTTAGAATCAGGCTTACTAACTACCAAGCACCATGCCCCTTCAAGTGGTCAGTGGCAAATCTTTCGCTCTTTGTTTTCTAGGTTTTGCAGTAGTGCCCTTTCTCACCCCTTTTTTGGGCTACTAAAATAGACGACAGGAAAAAAGGGTACCCTTATCAGGGCTCCTTAAAAGATACATTTTGCAACCATTTGAAACATGGCTTTTTCAACACCAAAATAAAGTTGGAAACCACCATTTACAAGTTGCAATGTTCAGGTGTATAATGCATCCGGATCCCTGCTTCTTCGAACCTCTCTACTGGAGGACCCATTGTTCTGCCCAGGACGGACGACCTGCCTTTGCCGCCACTGCCGCCGCTGCCGCCCATGCCGCCGCCCTCCCCACCCTCGCAACATCGCGAGGTGAGATGAGACAAGAAAGCGGCGCGGAGCGAGTCGAAGACTTTGGTGTGGCAAAGGGATACATAGGTCCCCCAGTGCCCTTTGACCAACTGTTTGGGGGAGGGTTCCCATACTAAAATAGACTACAGAAAAAAGAAAGAAAGGAAAACAAAGAAACAAACAGCGGGGGGAAAAACGGTACCCTTATTCGAACCTCTCGGCTGGAGGGTATTTTTCGCATTGTTCTGCCTTCTCACTTCCTGAGTCCATGGACTCCAACCTTTGGGTTTGGACCATTCTCTCAGTTGTTCAGTTGCCCCAATTATTTTTCCCTTTTTTTTGGCTGCCCCACTAAATGGTCTTCCCAAAAAAGGGTTCCCTTTTTTCCAGGGTCACTGAACAACTGAGTAGTGGTACACACAAGCTCAGACTTTTGTGGTACACACAAGCTCAGACTTTTGTCGGCCAGACACCTCAGGAAGTGAGTGGCGAGCTCACCGATTCGGAAAGCAACGAGGGAAAGCCAAAGATCCTTTATTTGGGGATCTGATTGGTAAATCAGCCTTTGGAATTGTAAAATGTGCCGAATTGCTGGGTGGTAAAATCGTTTTTTTTTGTTTTTCAATACATGCCTAAATGGAAGCCTCGCTTGTCCAAAGCGGATCGACCTGTCGACCTTTTGAGCATGGGAAGCAGTTCGTGGACGGTGCTGACTTTCTTATTTGAATTGCCCCAAAAGAGAGTCCTAGCCCGAGATTCTGAGAGACTGTGAATGAACGAAATCCTGCATCACTTTGAAACCATGGGAAACCATTGTTGGTTGGCATTTGCAAGGGGGAATCATCAGAAACCAGGGTTTTTTGAACGCCCATCCACAGTTATGGGTCTGTCTTTTGGTTTAGGGACCTGCACAATGGTGGTGTTCCTTTAAGGGTCCCTTTAACACCAGGGTACCAAGCCTCAGAAAGAAGAGCCGCCCCCCAGCCACTCACTTCCTGAGTTCTTAGACTTTCAGCTTGGGTTTGGCAGTGTGGCTACTTTGGTTGGGCCATCTACTCGATCGGAAGTGAGGCCACTGGAAACCGCCAAGTGGGGCTCGGGCGTTCGGGCCCCGCGCTGCGGGCAGCGCGGCACTTGACTCGACCGACCGACGTCTCGGCTCCGGCTTGGGCGAGTTGTGTCCCTGGCTGGGGGCCCGGACACCCAGATGGGGAGAGGGGGAGGGGATCTGGGTGTTTTTTTTTGGAGGGTACCCACTCCCTCCCACTTGGGTAAAATTGATCTTCCAGGTGTCTTTTGACAGGTGCCATGTTAGTGGGAGGAAGGGCAATTACCGCTTGTTGCGTGTTTGTCAAACGGAAACCAAAGGAACACCACGTGTTTTTTTTTGTCTTTTGTGTTTTTGTTTTTTTAAATCTCTGTGTGTGTTTTTATGGGGGGAGGGGGGGGGGGGCAACTCCTTTTTTTTTCCGGTGTTTCAGCGGAAACCACCCTTTTTGTTGGGACCCTTAACAACACCCATATCGATAGGCGGAAGATATCGTGTTGGATGGTTCGATTTGATTGGTCACCGAACTGTAGACGAGGGCCAGGGGTTTCAATTGGCCTGGCTCCAGATTTATTCTCAGTTGTTCAGTGGCCTCCTTTTCCCTTTTCTTTTGGGTGGCTGCCCCACTAAAATGGTCTTCCCAAAAAAGGGTTCCCTTTTTTTCCAGGGTCACTGAACAACTGAGTATTTTGGGCCAAACAGTGAGGCGTTGAGACAAAACCTCTTTGGGCTGTGGAGGGTCTGGGTCCATAAGCCGAAGCCAGGAGCGACTATTTCTTGTTTTTCCCCCTGTTTTGCTGGGAATCGATCTCACTACTGGACATGTGTGTGTTTTCCGGGGACGAACAAGCAAATGGAGGTGCGTGGTTCTGTTGGACGTGGCCACAGGCTGCTGACAGATCAGTAGTTTGGGGTTGGTTGGGCATAATCATTTTCGTGAGCAGCCATGAACTCCGCTCCCAGCGAATCGTCCGGTTGCAGAAAGGTGTTTAGGTGTTTTTAGTTGGTTTAGTGGGTGGGTTTCCATTAACACCCCCAAAAGTTAGTCACTTTTAGCAGGGGATCTGAGGACAGCCCAGTAAACAGGTGCTGTCCCTTTTTCAGGTTTCATTTGGCTCTTCAGTGTTGTTAGCCAGTTTTAGTGCTTTTGTTTTGTTCGTTATGTTCATGTTTTTCTCCCTGGGCTGCAAAACACAAAGTGTGTTGGTACCATAATTCTAGGGGTTGATTCCCCATTATTTTCAACCATTGTTCTTTTCAAAAACTGGTTGTTTCCCCTGGGTGTCTGATGGTTTCCTGAAAAGAAGGATCCCTGAAAAGAGTGGGGAAGGTACCCCTAGAATAATACCAAGGGTTGAAAAATTATCCTGCAACCTCTCAATCGGCCAAAGTTCTGGCCTAGATCCAAAAAGGATCCTTTTTCTGATTTCGGCTTTTTTTGGAAGTTTCGGCTGATCTTGTTTCCTGTCGGCGTTTTTGTGGCAGGTGACGTTTTTGGTTTCTGTCGGGCGTGGGCGGGGCGGGGGCTGCCTGCCTGCCTTCAGTTCGGCCCTTGGTGGCTCCAACAGCGCTTGGCCGACCTCTTACATTTTTTTCTGCCCACGCAGGTTGGTGAGACCTAGCTTGCTGCTTTGCAAGGCTAACACCAACCAAAATTGGGGACCCATCTTTGATTGATTTCAAGGTTGATAAAACAATCCCTCTGCCCCGACCCTTCCAGAACACACAGGCGGGCGACCCGTGGTTCTACGCTGACCTTCAGACTGCTTGCTTTACGCGCAGGCATCAACATTGTTCAGAAGTCCACCTTAGTTTCGCGACTTCCTGCGTGTGGACTGACGATTTCCAGCCAAGAGCGGCATCCATACTAATTAGTCTTGTCCCCTTGCTGCTGACACCTGCGCGTCTTTGCAAGAAACACATGCATGCACGCATGTGGCTGAAGTGGCCGACTGGTTGGCTGCGCGCGGGCTAAGATAGTGTGACTGCACACGCTTCGTGGAAACAAGCAGCAGGCCGCCCTACAGTGCGTGAATTGCGCAATTTCTGCAATGTTTTGTTTTTCTCGGTAAATTAATGTTTTTTCAGCCGGCCGAAATCGGCGGAATTAGGCGGGAAATCGGCGGAATTAGGCGGGAAATCGGCGGAATTTGGCGGGAAATCGGCGGAATTTGGCGGACAACATTTTTCACAAGTGTCGTAAGCACATTCATGCTTTCGATTTGTTTGGTTGCAGCACGGTGGCTTTGAGCCTAGTGACTTAGCACAAGCAGCGGGGTTCCAACGCAGTCATGGAACGCTAAACCGCCGTGACTCTTCTGACAATCTATTTGAAATTGATGATCCTCCTCCACAATTTTGCTGCTCTTGCTGAAGGGGCGCTTGCCTTCCAAATCGTTGGGTTCCGCTTCAAACCCAAGTACCACTCGATGCACCACAAAGCATTTAGGCATTGGAACCGGGAGCACCCCTGACTACGTCTCCCATCGCGACTGTATGCGAGGCTGCGAGGACCTGGTAGGAAAAACAGCGAGGTTAAGCCGGAGAGTATCAACAAGACAGTCTGGAAGGCGAGTTTTGGAACGTGTGTTCTTAAAGACCTGTGCAGTGCTTCGGAAGCACATCCGGGTCCGCCGCCAATAAGGGAAGCGTGTGCGATAACGTTTTGCAAGAGAGCTTCGAAGAGCTAAATTGCAGAAAAGGCGCTTTATTGTTTGTGGGTTCCTTCACATGCCCCAGCCCCAAAAACTTGGCCTTGACTGGCTGGTCTTGTGTCGAAGTGGCGGCCCAAATCGGCAAATATTTTTTCCCATCGGCGTTTTTTTTGGGTTTCGGCTGTTTTTTGGGAAATCGGCTGAAAAACAGGCCGCCAATCAAATCGGCTGAAAGTTCAGCCGCCGGAGGCTCTAGTATGTTTCGGGCCATGGGTTGACAAGATTGATTTGTCACTGGTCACGGAAGCCCCAGAGGCTTCTTGCCATGCGGCCCTACCGGGGATCCATGAATCTCAAAATGAGGAAGTGGATCTCAAAAAAAGAGTGTGGGGAATCCCAGTTTGGTTGAGGAACCTCTCTTTGGTCCGAGGGGAAAGCACGCAACTTTGTGCTGTCCTCGAATTCTGGTCCCCGAATGCAGAATGAAAAGTATAGGAAGGCAACGGGTGGTTTCTTTTGGCTTTCATGAAAGAAACAATCCACCCTTGAAAACTTCTTGAAACACGTAATGTGTGGAGACGGTGAATTTTTGTTGAACGCACGCCAACTTAGGGTCCCTGGGCAGCTTCCTTCCTTCGATGACTGGTCTCGACATTGTTTGGTTCCTGATCTAAATGACCATGGGTAACTTGTCCCATTTGGGAAGTATACATATATATATATATATATACCTGGGTCTTCCAACATGTGCAAAATTATTGCTGTTTTGTCAAAAACTATGTCTTTTGACCCAACGGCGATTATTTTCGCCTGCCGGCAGTTTTCGTGTTTGCACACTCTAGCATCAATCAAAATTGCAAAACGGCGTAATTTGCCATCAAAACGGCGTAATTTGCCGGCGAAACGGCGTTTTTTATGCCTGGTTCCGAGCTGGACTCACGGCGAGCGCTTTTTCTCCGAAAGAGCGTTTTTTTCAGCAACCGGCGAAAATGATTGCTGTTTTGGGAAACGGCGTTAATTTTACATGTCGGAAGTTCCAGGTATATGTATCATCGTTTTGTTGGGTGTTCCCCGACGGTCCCATGTAAAGGACCGTTTGATCAACCCTCAGGGATGAATTCTTCAGGGATCCAATCCAAAGCACAGGCCCAGGTAACGGCTGTTTGCAAAGCAAGCTGCTTGAGCGACCGAAGATTCCAGTTGCAAGTACCTACCCTGGGGTTCAAACCCCCATGAAAACAATGGTTGGGTTCATATAACCAGCATTCTGGAGTAGACTTAGGATACATTTTACGTATTTTACCAGTAACTCCAAGTGAAGCAAGCCATAAACAATCACATGCCATAAGCAGGCCGAACTCGAGCCATGCTTTGTTTACCCAAGGCATGTCCTCCAAATTGGGTCGTTCCCTATGGCCATTCTTTTCATGGGGGCTGAACCCTAAAGCCTGGGGAAGGCAAGCCATGGAACAGGGCTCCTGAAAAGATCTCCATGTTGCTTGCAAAACCATTTGAAACCTGGCGGGCTTTTTCAACACCAAAATAGCAGGTTGGAAAAAAACCACCAGAAAACAAGTTGCAATGTTCGATCGGTGCTGTTCATGTATCCGGATCCCTGTGAAACCATCCAGCTTTTTTTAAATCTAGTTGAAGCCTCCCCATTCGTTGGGATCCAATTTTTTGTCAGCAAACCATGAAACACCGAGGGGAAAGAGCGATCGATTTTTGAAAAGAACGATGGTTGAAAAGCATGGACAAGGAATCAACCCCCAGCTGTTGTTGTTGCGAGCTCACCGCTTCGGTAAAAAGAGCTCACCATAAGGGTCTTTTACTATCCTCAGTGGGGGTTCCTCGACATACGGCATCATGGTTGTTGTTGGGAAACATTTTGCATATTTGCTTGTTGTGGTAAAGTGGAAAATCCCCACTTAACTTCTAGAATGTTAACTTTTGCTCCCCTTCCAACGTCAACCAAGGCATGGTAGTGCCTGGAAACACGTTTTGGCAGCCCAGGGCGACAGCATGATGTCGTTCACGGAGACATCTCAGCTGCTACAAAAGGCGCCATCATTGGCGCACGCTGGGTGGATTTGTTTGTCTTTGTATCCGTGGTTCGGTGCCTCCAAAAGTTCCAGCAGGCGCTCGGTGGCTCCCATTTCCCCTTTTTGTTTGGTGGGTTCCTACTACAAATGGTCACCCCCTTTTTGTTGGTTCCGATTTTCTTACCAAGGGTCACTGGGTGCAACTCCCTGAAACAGCGAAAACTCGAGAGCACCAGGGGAAGGATATAGTCATGCCGCTTGTTTTTTTTTTCTGATTTTTGTTCACAGATCTTCCCATGGAACCTGAAGCCAAGGATGTAGCCAGGAGGTTTTGAGGCTGCATGGAACCTGATCCTGTTCATGGCACCTCTGGCAGAGGATGGGGAAATGCACTGGGGCTTGGCAAAACCAAGCTTTTCCTCACTGGGAAGTGCCCGTGAGTCACAATCAAAACCTACTAAAATGGGCGTAAGGAATTAAGAAGGCGGATATCCGCAGCTTTTTATGGTGGGGGTGGGGATTCAGAGAGAGGCCCCGGCAATCAGAGCCGAACCCAGTTGATGAATCAACCACTGCTTGGTTTGTCGATTGGGAGAAACTCCATCCTCCAGATTGAATAATCCTTGGCCAAGATTGTCCAGTGATGCTGAAGACTAGGATTCGTTGGATTCGTTCTGCAGCCCTTGCCATGTCTTTCTGTTTCTTGAGGCTCGGTACACTTTGCCAACGGGAAAGCAACGCCTCTGGTTACACCAGGCTCTCACCAACCCTCAGTTGTCAAAGGTCACTTCACCTATGGCTTGAGAGCTGTGGCGGTGGCAGTTTGTGAAACCTTGGTGGCTCCAAAAGGCCATCCGGTTCCTTAGCTTTTAGATCCTTTTAGTGTTTAGTGCTAGTTTCCATTTTATTTACTGAGCTCCGAAGGGGAAGCCCCGTGTTGCAACACATCCCGAGAAAGCCACTTGGCTGTGTGTGTCCCGGTTGCAAAGCCGTGGGGGCAACCCGAGGTGGTTTTTTTGAGTCGCTTGTAAGCCTTTTCAACCGGTTGTAAGGCCTCAAGAAAAGCCTCAACTTGAGTCGCAACCATAGGGGACCCAATTTGGATGATGACAATCCTTAGGCAAATAATGCTGGTTATGCGAACCCGAATTGAATACTTGTTTTTTTTGTTTGGTGGTTTGAGCCACAGGGAGTGGTTGGGGTGCTGGCGGGCAAGTCTTTTGTGTCTGTTGTGTCCACGGATTCCCTCAAGTTTCGTCAGCTCCCGAGGAGCTCATGAACGACTACAGCTACCGCCGGGGTGTCAGCCGGACAGAGTCACGACTGTGGAAAAATATGTCTATGGCGGCCTGGGCAAAAGTGCACGGCAAATGGCAAGGGAATTGGAACCATTGGGAGGGTGATTCTGGCTCTGGGGGCTCTGTTTTTTGAAGGGTTCCCTTTGGGGTCATTATTTTTACGGTTTCTGGGAGTTATCAAAGTCAGAAAATGGATTCAGTTGTTTCCCTTTAACCCACCACTGAACGGGGGTGACTTAAGAATAAGACCAGCTTTCTTGGAAGCTTTCGGGTTGCTCACACGACCTTTGGGTAGAAGATTGGAAGGGGTCCTTTTGTTCTTCCTTACCTCTTAAAAACACAACTTTTCAACTTTTTTGGTAACATGGGCTATATGTCTGTAAAAGATTAACTTCCCCAGGGCTTGGAGTTTTAAGGGGTAAGCTTCTTGTAGACCTCAGCTTTCTATTGTGACGACTTGGTGGCTCCCAGCCATCCGGTTCCTTAGCTGTTTTTGGTTTTGTGCGCGTTTAGTGGGGCTCACTAAAAGTTAGTCACTTTTAGCGGGGGATCAGAAAACGGACAGCCTAGACGACTTGTGGTCGAATCTGGACAACTTTTGGTGAATCGACCCGCGAACTGTGAGTTCTGTTGGCCGAGGATATGACGTGTGGGTGTCCCCTTTTTCGAGGGTCCCCTTTGTTTGGTGGCTTTAAATAGAAAACAGGAACAAAAAGACAAGTCCCGACGCAAAAAACAACTGGCAGCTTGCGTGCCCCTGAAAATGCCCCTCAAAGAAATATGTTCAAGAGTGCATCTTTTGCGTGTCACAAAGTTTTGCTGGCACAGAGGGTCAGAGCCCTAGCAACACTCTGCCCTCAATTCTGGTTTGAAGGGCCCGCGGTTTTATTCGGGAGCCTTTGAACCCAAACCTCCAAAAAGCTTGGCAAAGAATCCAACGTGTGAAAGGCACCCCCTATTGTGGTTTGGACTGTTCCAACTGAATTTCGATTTCCCAGGTTTCGTTGCCTGTATTGGGTGGAAAGGAGGCTTCTGAAGGCCCTTTTTTACCACTGGGTGTTGTTTTCGTGGTGTGTTTCGGCTTGGCCTTGCATTGTGGTTTTGGATCGGTGGTTGTTTTTGTTTGGGTGGGAGGCACCTCGCCCAAACCACCACTGCAAAGTACTGGTGAAGTTGGGGCCCTGAGTTCGCTGCAGCCCAGGTGTTGATGGAATTCCCCCCATGAACGACTCGCAGTATGACTTCAATCATGTACAGCCACGCGCTCAGTCGATCCGATTGCCGCCTCATTTCTCCCGCTTGCAAAGCAAGGCAACTGTTAATTCCCTTTCGGTTTTAAGCGTTGACCAACTTTTTTGCAGTGGCACTGAACAGTGAAAGATCACATAGAATTTCCCATGTTAGTTCTACTGGAAATGCTCAAAGTATACAAACAAATTATGGGGCCCGGGGTCCTTTTTCTGTCCCCGAGTCTTGGGTCTGTACTTTGGCTTTGCTGGTTTTGAACTCTAGCGAGTTCACCCGTGTCTGCAGACATTTGAGCAACGGACCCTGTGTCCTGCAGGAAATGTTTGGTTCTTATTAACCCCCTCGGACGCTCATGGCAAGAAGGTCGGGCACACATCTTCCCCAGAAATAGTTCCCTTTTTTCATTTTTTGTTTTTTTGGGGTTCCCTTTGTTTTCCACTAACCAGGCACCCAAAAAAAATGCAGGGGTCCTAATTCCAGCCAAGACATGTAGTCATGTCAAGTTGCCAAGTCACGCATGTGAAAGGATCTCGCCACTGGATGTGTGTTTGTTTTTTGTCGACACATCACCGTGCTGGCCAGGAGTCTGCTGTGAGTGTGTTTTGGGGCCTGTTCTATCTGTTCCGTACAGGTTGGCCACAGATACTATTCCTCACCCTGGGAATCAGAGTGGTGTTGATCAGTCTCAGGTGGCTTTCAGCGTTGATGAGTTTTGGCGGCGGCTAAAGGGGAAGTTTCATAGCTGTGGATGGTTGCGAAATCAGTTTCGCACCAGCTAAGAAACCCTGGAACAATTCATGGTGTGGTGCAGGACTTCGTCCATCCACAGTAGCTGTGGAAGCCTTGGCTTGCAGGTTGCCATTTCTGCTGGACTGCTCTAAGCGCCCAGATTCTAATCAAAATACGAAGACACTTGCAGCCCAGAGTGAGTGAGGGTGTGCCCTTTGCCCAATTCAGGAAATTGGACAGAGGCTCATGGACACTTCGTGCAGTGCCTATGTTGCAGCACCGAACTCCGAAATACAGATTCCGGACAAAACAACAAGGTGGCCACATGTTTGTGTTCTGTTTTTGTATATATATTTTTTGGGAAGAGCCCATATTTCTTCGGCTTCAACGGAAGATTTGGAGAGTTTTGAGACCCAAAGCAGACTCATGCTTCAAGGGTTCGGAGCTCCTCTGCACTTTTTTTTTTGTACACACAGCCAGATTGCGAGCCTCCAGCCGGGTGTCCAATGGAGGGTCTGGCTGGGGCAAAATATGGTTTAAGCACCAGCTTTACCAGGGCTCCTTAAAAGATCTCCATTTTGCCACCACTTGAAACATGGCGGGCTTTTTCAACACCAAAATACAGGGAAACCACCATTTACAAGTTGCAATGTTCAGGTGTATAATGTAAGGATCCCTGTTTAGGGAAGAATCATCACCAGTTTAAACATGTTTAAACCAATGGCCCCACCCTACGGTCTGTGTCTTCCACAAGCCGAAGGGAGCGTCTGGGCGGTTTGGTGCCCTAAAACGGTCCACGCCAGCTTGTGGCACTAGCTCAGAGAGGTCCTTGGGCCTTTGGCGGCCGTATTTCATCTGGAATCTAAGGTGTTTCTCGTGTTCTGCCTATGTCGAACTTTGAGAGTTTGTCCACCTCAACCTGGAATTCCAAAGGAAGTTCTAGACATCAACTTGGTGAGTATTTCTTTATAGCTATCCGGTTGAATCCTTGGACTTTCCCTTTTTGGCTAAAACAGCACAGATGTTCCGTATTGGACCCACCAAAAGTTGAAGAGTTGTTGCCAACCAAGCTTGGGAACTCCAATTTTCCCCCGGAACTTCCCGGTTTGTAATCACGGGGGGGAGGGTATTGAGCTTGTCTCAAGGGCTTCTACGACTCCCAGAAAAAGGGTGTTTTGCCACCTTGGGTGAGATTGAATCACTTCACTACCAGGGGGTCCCCATTTTTTTTGCCACCAAAGGTGGCAAAAAGACCCCCCTGGCTATGCCCCCCGCGAAAAGGCAGGGAGGTGCTCGGAGCTTGGGACCAAAACGAAGTTTGCGAGGTCCGGCCCTCCGCCGAGCGCCTACATGCAGCGAACTGCGGCTGCAGGTGCCGCGTGTTTGTGCTTTGCTTTGTTCCTTTTGTTTTGTGTTTTGTGTGTTTTGTGTGTTTTGTTGTGTGTTGTTGTGTTTTGTGTTTGTTTTTGTGTGTGTGTGTGTGTGGGTGTGCGTGTGCGTGTGCGTGTGCGTGTGCGTGTGCGTATGCGTGTGCGTGTGGGTGTGGGTGTGGGTGTGGGTGTGGGTGTGTTTGTGTTTGTGTTTGTGTTTGTGTTTGTGTTTGTGTTTGTGTTTGTGTTTGTGTTTGTTTGTTTGTTTGTTTGTTTGTTTGTTTGTTTTTGTAGTTGTTGTTTTGTTTGCTTGCCAACGGCGATGCCGACTTGCTCGTTTGTTTGGCTCGCAATTGCCAGGCGGGCGTGCCTCGGCGATGCCTCAGAGCAGAGGAGGTGGGTTCCTCGGGAAGTTCGGTGTGCGATACCTCGCTTCCTGAGTTCCGTTTCGGACGTTCCATGAACTTGTTTGGGGGGCTTTTGGAAGGCCATTGTAACCTTTTTTAGGCTTTCTGGGGGCTTTTGGAAGGCCAGTGTTGTTTTTGCTTTCTGGGGGGGTTTGGAAGCTTTCTGGTGGTTGTGAGCTTTTTTTTTGCTTTCTGGACGGTTTTGGAAGGCCATTGTAGCTTTTTTTCGGCTTTCTGGGGGGGTGTTGGAAGGCCATTGTAGCTTTTTTTGGCTTTCTGGTGGCTGCAAGCTCGTCGCAGCACCAACCTGACCCGTGGGCACAGGGGCTTGATCCCTGGGCACGTGCCAAGGCGGCTCAGGCGCCATCACCGGCCCAAGCTCCCACGCAAGGACCAATTGCTGAACGCATGGAGTCCCAGGATAAGCGCATGGAAGCGCTCGAGAAGCAAAGGGACTTGCAAGACCTTGCGACCAATATCCGCTCTGAAATGGGCGGCATGCAGGTTGCCATGCAGAATGCATTTGCTGAGTCGCTCAAAGCTGAGCTGGCTGCTCAGAGCCAAGACTTGATGAAGGCCATTAAGTCCAGACCACGGGGCGGTACTGAGGATGCCGCCAAGAAAGCCAAGACAGATGCAACCATGAATGCCCTGACGGTCATGGCCCACCACTCAGTTGGTCTGGGTGGTGGGCTCGCCGTGATCAGTGTCCCTTTGTGTCCCTTTGTCATTGGGGGGTTTTGGAAGGCCAGTGTTGCTTGTTCGGGCCACTCAGGAAGTGAGCCCAATGTGTGAGTGGAAGGACTCTACTCGGTTTGGACTCGGGCTGCGTGAATCGCACTCGAGTTCCTGGACTTTCATCACTTTTTGGGTTTTGGGCAAACATTTTAGTGGTAAACGAACAGTTTGGTGACTTTTCTTGGGCCAATTCACGCGATCCTTCTGGAAATGTGAAAACTTAGGGACGGAGGGAATTTTCAGATATGTTTGAGGGTTTTTGTATTACACCCTGGGATTGCACCCTTGGGCAATGACTTAGAATAGTTCAAAATAGCACAGTTTTATCCGGAAATGTGCCTAAATGGGGTCAATACTCAGTGGGTGTATTCCCAGGGTGTAATACAAAAATCCTTACAAGTTTCGGACATGTGTGTTAGGGGACCCCACCCTCCCCACCCCCGGAAAAAAAGAAGAAAACCAAATTTCCCTTGGTTTCCGTTCAACAACCGAAACAAGGATTACCCCCCCACAACCACAACAACAAAGTAGTGTTCCTTTGGTTTCCCTTAAACTAAGAACGCATCAAGTGGTAATTGCGCTTCCTCCCACGTTGCCATGGCACCTGGAGGGTACCTGGAATTAATTTCCTCTTGCGACCCCCGTCAGGTGCTATGATAACGTGGGAAAGAGGGGTAATTGAGGGTGTCGGGTGTATGCACTGTGTGTATGATGGCAGACTTCAACAAATCCCAGCTCGCTCTTGTCAAAGAAGGCATGCAAAGTACACATGAGCCAAAGGGTAGATGAAGGTTAGTAGGGGGCAGTCCCAACCATAAAGGCTTCTTAATTCCTTGCATGGTTCTGGGTAGCCCATTTTAGTACCGGGTTTTGATTGTGACTCACGTGGGGCGCATTTGGCTGCAAAGCTCGTCCCAAGGAAAAGGCCTCCTCCTTTTGGCGCTTGGTCTTGTCAAGCCCCAGTGCATTTCCCCATCCCCTGATGTGAATCGGCTCCGATCAATGAAGAAAGCTCTTTTGTCTCTTCACGGCTGTTATTTTGGACAGCACTTACTTGCGAATATGTGATTGTATGATGTTGTATGTACATGTTGGCGGGTGTGGAGAAAAAGGATTGGCACGGATCAGTGTGTTGGCATGCGGAGGTATCTTGCAGAAACAGCATGCCCACAGGTAATCCACGGGTGTGGCAACATGTAGAAGGGTGGCGCATAGGTCATGTACCCATGGGCTTTAATCTAGGTCCCCCAGTGGTGCCCTTTCACCCTTTTTTAGGAGGAGGGTTCCCCTACTAAAATCGACTACAGAAAAAAGGGTACCCTTATTCTAACCTCTCTACTAGTTATGATTTCACTGGGGAATGTCGGGGAACTCATGTTAACTTGATTTAGTCCGTGCTTACCATGATTTCGAAATCCATTGATCAATGATAGCGCAGGGTACCCCCCCCCAATTACCTAGGTATCCTTCAGCTTGTTTCGTACAAGAACGATTGCGCTAGTGGCAACATAATCCATTGGGGTGCCCTCACTTAAGTCAAAGTTGGATGGTTCAGTTCGGGATCATGTCCCGATTCCCTACCGAGAAGGAGTAATTGTGAAGCAACAACATACTCACAGCAAGTTCACGAAAGGAACCCAAAGAGGCCGCATGTGTTTGTTTGTTTGTGTGTCTGTGTGCGTCCGTGTCTGTGATTGTGTCTGTGTGTGTGTGTGTCTGCGTGTCTCTCTGTGTCTCTCTGTGTCTCTCTGTGTCTCTCTGTGTCTCTCTGTCTGTGTCTCTGTGTCTTTCCGTGTCTCCGTCTCTTTGTGTCTCCGTGTCCCCGTGTCTTCGTGTCTCAATGTTCCCGTGTCCCCGTGTGCCATATCCCCGTGTGCCCGTGTCCGTCCCGGTGTCCATGTCCGTGTCTGTGTTGTTTGGTTTTTTGTTTCTTTGGGGAGGGGGGTAATGTTAATATCATTTCAACGGGAACGGAAGTTTGGTTACTTCGGCTAACCACGCGGGAAATTATTCAAGCCGAGCGGTAACTTGGGATTCTGTCCGATTCTTCTTTCCAGGAAACCGGCGTTTACCCCACGGATTTTGCTTGTTTGAGCAGAAGGCTGGTTGCAAAGACTAGACAAGAAATGGTTATGGACCATAGGCCATAGGAGTTTTGACCCTTCTTCCTCCACCATCAAGTTTTCCAAGGCTTCTCTGCTAGCCATGACCTGGTGATGGTTATGTGTTTTTGGGAGACCCTTTCCGCCCAAGGCCAACCGGGGGAGAAAACCAGAACTGGGTCCCCAGTTTGACCATTTGACCATGGCTCAAATGGCTGTTCCATGAAAGCTACGGAGAGTGGACCGGCCTTGTGGTCGAAGGGCTAGTTTTGACCATGGCTCTTATGCTGCCGAAAAAGAGTCTCCAAGGTTGTCCAAACGGCCGGCAGTTGTTGGGAGACACTTTTCAGCCCAAGGGCAACCCGGGTCCTTTTTTGACCATTTTGCGGTCAGGCTTTGGTCGCACGGAGACGGCTCGGCCAATGACCTCCAACCGAGCAGCTGGGGGCTTGAGGTTAGCTTAGTCGGTTTCTGGTCAGGTCAGCGTTTCCCTGTGCCCACCTTGAAACAGTTTTGAAGGGAATCGATTTCACTACTGAGCTTGGTTTCTCTTATTTTTTGGCAGGGGACTGAAGAAAGCGAATGGAGGTAGGCCATCGAAGTTTGTCCATGAATAGCTGTTTTCGGTCGAAGTCGGCGTTTCCCTTTCCTTGTGGAGACGACTTTTTTGGAAGATGCTGCCAGAATCATAGCCCTGGTGACATCCCACGTAATTAAAAGCGTGGCAACCAAGGGTTAAAACCATGGCTGCTTTCAAAATCCGCAGCCGAAGAATTTGCAGGAGACTTGGGCTGGGTGATGGATATCGAACTGAAGACATGATGAGTATGATGAGTCCGGAAGACACAATTAAACTCCAGGAATGGTATGGTGGATCCTGCCAATATTGACTGCCAAGCCTCATTTTAGGCCTGTGTCTTCATGTTTCAGTCTGGGGCCAGTCGCTCAGATCTCAGAAGCAGAGGCGACTCATTGAATTGGCAACGAGGTTTAAGCCAGCTTGTAGGACTGCCTGGCTTACTGGACGTGCTCAGACAGCCCCACGAGCTTTTGTTTGAGGAGTGTCTACCTTTCCCGCCACCAACAGAAGGTATTTGTAGGACACCTGAAAGATTGATTCCTCTTGTCCCCATGGCGTTAGTGGGAGGAAGGGGATTCGAGCGAAGCCTTTGACAAATTCTAGAGCTGCCCCGTTGTTTCTGCCCAAAAATTAGACCTTGCAAGGGCAAACCAGAATGGAAGGGTTGGGCGGTGGATTTCTTGGACCTTGGACAACTGGTTTGGAGCTTGCTTAATTCAAAGGACCGCACGCCGCAAGCCTGTGTTCGGAATGGCACCTTTTGGGGAAATGGTGCCCTCCCTGTTGGGACCTCAGGCAAGTTTCGGGGAATCCTAAAAATTGCTGGTGCTCAGTAGGGAATGACCCAGGGTCTGGGGAATGAACCTAGAGAATCCCTTAAGAAACCATAGGTCCTCATTCCCAACTGTGCACCAGCAAGTTCTTTAGGACCCTTAGTTAAATGGTCTTCCCAAAACAGGGTTCCCTTTTTTTCCAGGGTCACTGAACAACTGAGTTTAGTGGTAAACAGGCAGTTCTGACTTTGTTTGTCCCCGGAGGTGAGAAGATGAATCTAATGCAGACCTATCCCCTGAGGTTCCCACCTACTCACGTTTTGAGCTTAGTTGGTAAACATGGTCCTTCAAGGGAACGTTGAGTTTTGCCTGCTGGATGGCTCCATTTACAAAACTTCAACTGCGTTTGTGAACTTCACCTCTGGAATCAAGCATGAGAATTCAAGCTACACCTAAATGCAGGGTGCCATGATTTTGAGGTCAAAACTTGGTGGCTCCCAGCCATCCCCTTTGCTGTTTAGCCTTTTAGTGTTTAGTGGTAGTTTCCATTTAACCCACTGAAAGTTAAACTTTTAGCGGGGGATCTGAGGGCAGCCCTGAAAAAGATAACTGCCCTGAGCGGCGGCACGCGCCGTAAACGATTTCCTGCGCCGAGAAATTGATTTCCCGCGCCGAGGCCGGCTACACAGCCGCGGGGAAGACCGGCGGCAGTAAGGCGTTCTCGGATGGAACACGCTCGTCGCAGACTCGACAATGTTGTTCTGTTTCTTGGTGGTGCCCAGCCGTCCCAATAGCTTTTTAGCTTTTAGTGTTTAGTGGGGTTTTAAACTTTTAGCGGGGGATCTCAGGACAGCCTAGGTTTGTCTCGGCATGAACTTGCTGGTGCTATAGGTGGGGGATGAGGGAATGCCCCCTTCAACAATCATTCATGGTTTCCTTTACAGGCACGCCTGGGTTCATTCCCACATTCCCTGAGCACCAAGCAAAAGGGAGCCTGTAGGCAACGGAGATCTATAGCAGCACACCAAGAGAGCTTGTAGGTAACCAAGGAAACTGGCAGTCGCTGGGGCCTTGACTGATGGCACAAGTCCAGTGTCGCCTAGAGGTTTTTGTTACCCCTTTTCATCGACACCTTTTGTGGTGAAAAGCACACCACTTCAAACCGGCCTAAGGAGAAGTGAGCTTGCATTTGTTTTTGTGGTTAGCCTTTTTGGGGTTGGTTCAAAGGGGTACCAAAAGAAGTACCACCCATTTGACAGGTCCCCTACTCTTTGACCCCCGGCCAGCTCTGCTTCTCTCGTTTTCTTTTTCCCCCAACAGCTGAGTCAGATATGAGGGTTCTGGAGGGTTCAGATATGAGGGTTCCCTTCTGGGGTTCCTGGGCTGCTGGGGATACCACCGTTTCCCTTGAAAAGCTAACCGGTCACCAACGAAATCCAAGCAACAAAACCAGGATGCCCTCATCCATGGCTCGTTTTTTTGGCGGTGGAGAACAACCTCCCTAAGACGGTTGGTCGCATCTCGCAATTTTGGCCCTTAAACCATGAGTACTGAACAATAAGCATCCTCTCGGATTGGTAGGTTCACGAAATGTAACTTTGGCGATCCTTGGCGTCATTGGCATCTTGGCCTTTCGGAGACAGCTTGGGGCCATGGTTTCCACAAAAAATCGCAACCCGAAAGGTTCTCAGAGGGGAGTCTCCAGAAAAGGAGAACCCCCAAGAAAGGTGTTCGCTAAAGAAAGGCCCACCAATATGAATGTTACAAGAGTTTTCGATTTTCGGATCTCACTTTGGCAGGTGCGGCATCGGTCTCTCCCCTTGCGTCCGCTCTCGTTTTGAGCGAAGTTGGTAGATATTCAATGGGGTTGATCAAACTAGTTGGCCCCCCACTGACCATGGGCAACCTTCTGCTTCTTGGTTGTTTGACGAACCAATTCCGTTCGCACAAGATGAATCCATATGGGAAACCATAACGGTGGTTGGCATTGGGGAATCGAATCAGAAACCAAGGTTTCTGAACGGTGGTGCACACTTGCGTCCGTTCACAGCCTGTGCATGCGCCCTCCGCTTGCTTGGCAATTGAGGAGCGGTTTCCTTTATTCGGTTGATCGAAAGTGGACAATACCTCGCTCTTCGGTTTGTGCCAACCTTTCAACAATGAATTGGCAAGATGACCCCCCACTTCCTGACTTGCAAGTTCTGTTCGACTTTTCGGAAGCTTACTCCCCGGGTTCCTTGACTTTATGCTTTTTGGGAAGACCGTTTTAGTGGTAAACAAACAGCTTTAGCTTTAACTTTTTTGTTGGGCCATCCACTCGATCAGAAGTGAGGAACAGCACAGTTCGCCCCACCTGCAAAAAGTGGCGCAGAGCTCACGTGCTTTGCTTTAGCGCAAACGGCCCTCTAAACCGAGGGGACCTGCGCTTTGATACATATGGGTACATGAGCGCGGGTGAGGAACCCCTTTAAAGGGAAACCAACGGAATCAACATATACCTGTTTTTGGCATGTACCTCTTTGGGTGCAAAACGCCCGGTAGAAGCAAACCACTGGATCTGTTGTAAAAAACGTCTGACATCTTTCGGTTCCTTTGTTTTTTTTGGTTTTTTTTGTTGGCTTAGTGGTAGTTTCCGCATGTATCCCACCAAGAGTTACTCACTTTTCGCAACACGGGGATCCGAAAGCGGGGTTTCCCAGTCAAAAAACGGCTGGGCTCGCTCCGTGCCAGGTCTTTGACCCTTTAAACCAAGGGGACAAGGGCTCCAAGCCTCTGGAGAAAAAGCGCCTCGCCTCGCAAGTGGTTTGATCGAATCATCGCAGTCGCGGAGTTCTTCCCTTGGTGGCTCAGCTTTTTAGTGTTTAGTGGTTGGTGTTCTGTATTTAGCCCAGCAAAAGTTAGTCACTTTTAGCGGGGGATCTGAAGACAGCCTAGAGTGGTTTGTTCGTCGCGGTCGGGGATTTCTTCTCTTGGCTGCAGTAAATCTGTTGGATTTTTACCTGGTGGTTTTAAGGGGAATCCGGAGCTGGACAGATTTTCTCATGTTTTTTTCAGGGGGACTTAAGCAGATCGAGGATTTGGGGGGCTAAGAGTTCAGGGTTCTGATGGTTTTCAGATAGTTCAGGATTCCTAGGAGTACTGTTCCTCTATCAAGGACCCAGACCCCGGATTCAATAAGGCCGTTTTTTTTGCGACTTAATGCCTTTTTGTGGCGCTAGTAGAAATGCGTTTGGGTGCTTTTAGAAGGAGTAATTTGGGTGTGTTTGTTTTTGGGGGGCCCCGAGAATGGCGCGGCAGTCTTCATGTCGGTTTCCCTCCCAGACGCTCCTGGTTGGGGTTCCGATTGGAAGACCCAGACCCTCCATTGGACCCCAGAAAGATTGTGGGGTCTCAAAACCGGGCTGTTTGAGGGCCGGTACCAACTCCAAAATTCAGTCCGACGGGGCTCCCTTTGTGCACTGATAGCCATGGGACTTTGGTCTTGAGCGTCACATTGTTTTTCGTCAAGGTGACTCTTCCTGGTGAGATTTTGAGGGGAAAGATGAATGGAATCCTGGTAGCTAGATGCTGGCTGACTTTGGGTTGAGGCCTGTGGCTTGAGTAATCAACTTTTGATTTCAGCAGATTCGAGCTTGTGAAAGGATGCAACCATTTGCGCCAAGTACAAGCTTGCAAGACAAAAGAAACAAACAAAACGAGCTCACCCACAATGAATGGGCCCTCTTGGATTCCTTGACGGCTGTTCTGCATTCTCTCCCTCCCCTTTCGTTTGACGTGGTGGACACACAGTTGCTTGTCGCCACCGAAATGCGAAGGGCGTGTGCATGATTGTGCTTGATCTGATTTTATTCCATTCCTTATACTACTAGCAGGCAAGCAGCGCATTTTTACCTCGCTTCCCGGCTTCCGCTGATGACCTCTGGCCATTTCTCTTCTTCGGGTTGCCCAGAACCAAAGAACCCGAATGAGAATGTCAGGTCAGAGCCCAGACCCAAAGAACCAAGAAACCAGACTCTCAGGTCACTCCTCGTTTGTCAAAGACGGACCTGGGTGTCCGGTGAGCCCTCTCCGATTGAAAAATAGCCATGCTGCTAGAGCTCAAATGGGTGAAACGGCCGCGCTGCCCCAAAACGGGCTTGGTGTTGAGGGTACCATGTGGGGTTGCAGGGAAAATCATGCTGCTTTGGTCTGCGTAAGAATATGGTTGATTTTCCCGCTCCTAGGGGAAATTGTTGTTTTTTCCGGCAGACTTAGGCAAATGAATGGAGGTTTGGGGTCCCCTTCACTTATTTGTAAAGCTTGTGTGGGCAAAATCTGAAGTTAGGGCTCTAACCGCGATTCGTTTGGTCTCAACCAGATCAGCTCCTATCCTGGGGATCCTGGGCAGCTCATAAATGGGGCGGTTCAAAGGGAAGCCGCGCGGCCGCCAAAAAATCACATCGATCTCTCAGAATTTTCTGCAAAGTGAAAAGGGGAAGGGAAGCAGAGTTCAGAGTCCAACCGTGGGGAATCCGCTTTCTGTGAGCTCGGGGAATCCGCTGAAAAGTTTGTTATGAACCAACGAGTCTTTGGTCCGTCCGCTTTCATTGGTCGCTTTAAAAGGTGCGGGAAAAAAAGAGAGAAAGCCACGACTTACCTTTTTGGTCCAAGAAGTGGGCCCGTTAAGAATTGCTGTGAAACATCACCTTGGTCCAACGTGTTTTAAGGGGAAACTTGTGTTTTCGAACCCCCAAAAACAACGACTCACCTTGTTGGTCCACTAAGAAATGGTGGCTCCCAGCCATCCCCTAAACTTTTTAGCTTTGTAGTGTTTAGTGGTTGGTTTTCCGTATTTAGCCCACCAAAAGTTATTCACTTTTAGCGGGGGATCTGAAAACGGACAGCCTACTAAGAAGTGGTTGCCATGGGTCAAAATCCCGTACCTCCAGTGAACATCCCAATCCCCACTAAAATAGACTAAAATGGGTGGTACACCTACCCCAAAATGGTACCATTGGTTTTGACTCACAGCCAAGTGGTTAAGTGGAAACAGGTTGGACTCGCCCACTGCGGAAAGCGGCGTCCCGAATTTTCCCCGGATTCGCGCCGAGGACAGAGCTGTCGGCGGAAGAAAAGCTTCGGGAGATGGAGAAAGAGATCCACAGGCGCTGAGGTTTTTGTTGCGACCAGGGGGAACCCAACTGCGCGGCCATGTCAATAGGCTCTACCACTTGGTTCACAATCCGAGTTTTGTTTTTTGTCATGACCGGTTTCCCACCTAAGTCCATTTGCTGAAGAATATGTTTTATTCTCCCCTGTTAGTTTCAAAGGGAATCTATCACTACTGTTTTTTGTTCCTTTTTTTTTCAGAGGGCTTAAGCAAATGGAAGACTGAGTTGGTTTGCACCGGGGGAACCCAACTGCAGCCAAAAAGGGCCGTTTCAGTAGGTTCCACCACTTGGTTTAGGGATCACAAGGCTTATAAACCATATTCCAAGAAAGCAACTCAATCCCCACCTAAGTCCATTGACTGGTAAGAGCACACAGCCCACATCAAGTCAATGAAGCTTCTCCCCAAGACTTGCTGGTGCGAGAGATGCAGGCAATGAGCTGAAATGACCCCCCAAATAGTGGTTTTCCTCTTGGTTTCCCGTAAACCAATCCAAACCACCAACTAAGTCAATGAAGCTTCTAAGAGGGAAGCCTGCCAGGTGCACCGAAAACTTGCTGGTGCGAGATGCAGGGAATGAGAAATGGAATGACCCCCAGAAAAACCATCCAGCTGGCAAAGCCTGGCTGGGTCCCCCAGTAGTGCCCTTTTACCCTTTTTTCGGGGAAGCGTTCCCCTGCTAAAATAGACAAAAAGGACAAAAATCGGGTACCCCTATTCTAACCTCTCAAATCTGGAGGACCCAGCTGGGTTCGAATGATAGTGCCTCAAGGCCTGGCTGACGATCATCCAGAATCCAAGGTCGGTCCATGCCTTCTCCAAGCTTGGTGGCTCCCAGTCATCCGGCTTAGCTTTCCTCTTTTTTTGTGTGTTTGGTTGTTTTGAGTTGTTTTTGGTTGTTTTTGGTTGCTTTTTGTTTGTTTTTAATTGTTTTTAGTTGATTTTAGTTGGTTTCAATTGTTGTTAGTTGGTTTTAGTTGGTTTCAGTTGTTTTTCGTTGTTTTCGTGGTTGGGTTTCCGTATTGAACCCACCAACAGTTCCTCACTTTTTGCCCACGGGGATCCGAAAAACTCGGACCGCCCAGCAAGGTCGGTCTGTTCGAAGTTGTTGAAAGAGCTTCGGGGTACCTCCTTCCAGGACGCGGACAGGTTCATTTGTGTTTCTTCTTCTTTTTCTTCGGGGATGTCCTACTGCTAAGGTATCCTTCCTTGGGCAATTCCGGGGAAAACTTGGGGGATGGCCTGTTTTTCTCTCACTTCCTGCGCTCCGTTTCGGACTTCTTCCAGTTGCTTTTGTATCAATATTTGATTTGTTCCATTTGCCCTGGTTTCAATGGGACTCGATTGGATGACTGGACTTCCATTTGCTCAAGAATATGATTCACTTTCGCCTGGTTTCAAAGGGAAGCGATTGGATGACTGGAAACATTGGCTCATTTTTGTCCAGGGGTCCAGCAACTGGAAGTTCAGTGTGGCACTGCGAGAGAGAGAGGGGGACTCTGGCCTCAAACCCATTGGCCGCTCCCGAAGACTTCTTTCCAAATACTTGGTGGCTCCCAGCCATCCGGTCCCTTAGCTTTTTAGCCTTTTAGGTGTTTAGTGGGATTTTCCATCTAGCCCACTAACATTTAAACTTTTAGCGGGGGATCTGAGGACAGCCTAGAATACATCAGGCTCTTTGATTTACTTCGCTGTTCTTTGATCAAGCTTTTCGGTCTTGTGGTTTTGTGGTTATGTTCATGTGTTTCCCCAGATAGCTGAAAGCTATAGGGGGTCTATCTTCTAATAAAAAGGGGAAAGTAATTTGCGAGATTGATGGGAGCGTGCTAGGGGGCATGCAGTTTGTGTGCTGGTGTAGGTGCTGTTTGGGGTGCTGTTTGGGGCGCTGGTTGAGGTGCTGGTGAGATTGACGGCCGGGTGCTAGCGCACATGCAGGTGACGGTGCGGGCGCATTTTTGCAAGAGTGCCAGCAGGCATGCAGTTTGGGGTGCTGGTGCGGGTGGCGCTTTGGGATGCTGCTTGGGGTGCTGTTAGGGGCTGGTGACGGCGCGGGCACATTCTCGCGAGATTGACGGCTGGGTGCTTTAGGGGTGCTGTTTGGGGGTGCTGTTCGGGGTGCTGTCTGGGGTGCCGTTCGGGGTGACGGTGCGGGCGCAGTTTGCGAGATTGACGGCAGGGTGCACGGGGCATGCAGTTTGGGATGCTCTTTGCGGTGCTGTTGGAGGTGTTAGTGACGGCGCGCGCGCGTTTCTGCGAGATTGACTGCCAGGTTCTGTTTAGGGCGCTCTTCGGGGGGTGATGGAGGTGCTGGTGTACAGTTGACGGCATGTTTTTCGCTATCTGGGGTCTATGCTGGTGTATTTTTTTGGCAGGGGGCAGCAAAAAAACAAAAAGGTGTTTCAACCATACCAAGGGTTGTGAGGTTTCGGCCGACTTTGGGTGATTGGCGGATGGAGCCGATCGATGTTTCGGCGCAAAAGAAAACACACCGAGCGAGAGCTCGGGAGGAACGAGCGATGTAAGCCAGGAAGCTCCTGTACGTGTGGACTTCTGATTTCCAGTTTGTGAATTCCAGCAAATTTGCCCAGATATGTCTAGGGATTGTTTCCCAATTCTCTTCAACCATCGTTCTTTTCAATAACCATGCGCTTTCTTACGGTTTCTTGTGGCGTTTGGAAAGAAGGATTTGTGGAAAACAACGGGGACGTTTTTCCTGCAATGCTCGTGTGGGCACCGTGCCTTATCTGGGTCTGTTCAAAACACGAAGCCGAAAGGAAGTTGCTAAAGGGTCAGAGACAACCAATACTCGTGTTTACCATTCTCACTACATTGTTGTGTTGAGTATACTGCACAACATGTTAATATTTAGTCGGCATCAATAAACTGTTTATATGATTTTATCATTGTGAGACATGTCCTCGAAACTTGCAAGATGTTTGGCAAATAGTGCATATTTTCTCCTCCAATAGATGGGTGGAATTTCAGGGAAGCCGCAGACAGAGCTTCGGTGAGTTTTGGGCAACCATGTTTGGTGTCCCAGTCGAAAGCCAAGGTCGTGTTTTCACCCTATGAATGATTTCCGGGAGCAGGGTCGATACGCCCACACGCCCAGAATCACAGCAGCCACACGACGCCCATAGAACCGCCCAAAAACGTACAAACCATAATCCCAGACACCCATAAACCCACTGCACGGTGCACATTGCGCCTCAAGGCATCATGACTACACACAATATGCATATATATATATATATATACATAGATATATATATATATATATATTATACGCACACATCTACGTATTATGCGTACATATGTGTACGAATTCTGCTTTTGCATTTTGGGGTGTCACCCCAACAAGGTCGCACAATAGTGACTATACGACTATTTCTTTTGATGAGATAGTTGCTGCTTTTGAGGAAGTAATCTTTGAGACAGAAACGCAGGTTGGTGGAAGAAAGCGCCATCACCCGCGAGCGCGGGAATCTGTGTGCGCCTCAAAGCGTCCCCAGGTTTCTCGAGCGATGCCCGTTCTTGCTGGTTCTCAGTAGGGAGTCAAAAGGGGGTTTGGGAATGAAACGTCGAATAAAGGAAACGACTACACCAACTAAACTTGCTGTTGCTCAGTAGGGAATGAGGAAGTGAACCGTTTGGCGATCCCCGAAAAAAGGAAACAGCCAGTTGGATCATGTATATTTCCCCAGAATTAGCTCCCCCCTTCTTTTTGTTTTGGCGTTTTTGGGATCCTTTTGCTTTCCACTAGCCAGGCAAAAAAAAAAGAGTTTGTTGCTAGGGTCCTAATTCCAGCCTAGTATAGGGGTCATTCCAACTCATTCCGTGCATCTCTCGCACCAGCAAGTCGGGGCCATAAGAAGGGGAAGGACCTGAATGAGGGACGCCCGGGTTTAAAACCGGGGCTTCTCCTTTAGCCGTTGAAATATGGGTATGGGGCAAAATCAAACGATCGGAGGGGCAAACCGCAGGTTTTGGTCCATGTTTCCATTTACCAGGGTTCCGGTCGTTTTGGAATTCCGGTTTTTTGAGCCACAGCCATATGACTCTATTGCCGAGTCTGGGGTTGGTCGAAACTTGCATTTTCTAGGTCCCCCAGCTAGGTGCCCTTTTACCGTTTCTTTTTTGGTTGGGAGGGTTCCCCTACTAAAAGAGACTACAGAAAAAAATCGGGTACCAACTTATTCTAAGCTCTCAAATCTGGAGGACCTAGGAGAGTTTCAGATTTGTCGCCGAACCTCGAGTTGGGCTCTCCATTGCCCTAGGCTTCGGCCACCATTAAAAGAGTGGCCATGGTTGACCCAATTTGGAGGGCGACTATTTTAATGGTAACTGAACCCCAGGGATTGGTGAAAGCTTTATCCCGTTGCAGCAACCTCAATCAATGCTTTGGCCTTTCGCCGCAAGCCTCAAGTCTTCCATTTGCCGCAAGGAATATATATATATATATAGAAAATACATATGTTCTATTTTGCCCTGTTAGTTTAAAGGGGATCCACCGTTACTGGACATATGTTTTTGTTCTTTTTCAGAGGGCAAAGAAGCAACTGAAGGCAATGAGGTCTTGGGCGCCCAGGGAGGGACTTCTATGAGAGATCTTGAATAGCACCAGATCTTCAATAGCTATCTTTTATCAGGGGACGGGCCCCTTCAATTGTTTTGCCCATGGCTGGTTTGGGAGTCAGTCTGGTGAACAGGTGATTGCCAGTGGTGAACTACTGTCTTCCTTCGGGAATTCGCTGGGCTCTGTGGATCATGCCAATTTACCCAGAACATAGGAACTGACCGCTTGAGTTTTCACACATACCAAACGTTTTGCTTGGTCAGCACACATGGTCAGCACAGGGGTCCCTCCAATTCCCTTGTTGCACCTCTCGTTTCAATGGACCGCCCCAGTGAATTGATCAACTGTTTTGATTTGGGGAAATCCAACTTCGCCAACAATCTACCCGTGGCCATTCGGCCTGTGCCTTGACACCCTTCGCGGTGTGTGGAAATTTGGGAGGGGCTTCACATGCACGTTGGTCAGGACAAATACACGATGCAAAAGAAGCACCCAGGTCCCAACCTGCCGCTCAAGAAACCTATTCCCAAAATGGTACCCTGGTAAGTGGAAACATGGACCGAAATCTGAGGTTTGCCCCAGCTGTTTCGTTTTGAGCCACATCCATCTCCAAAATCGCGCGGGAACCAAAAATAAGGAGGCAAGGTGGGACCCGGATCTGGAGGAGCTGACCTGGCAAGGAGCTCACCCTTGCAAATTCGGATTCCTGTCCGGTTGGTTAGATACTTGGAACGTCACCTGGGCTCCTGAAGGTGAGCCTCCTTTGGTCGTGTGGTGCGGACGGTGATGGAGTTATACTACCCCTTACACCCAATACCCACTTTTTTTTAGGGTATCATGTCGACCCTCTACTAAAAAAGGATGTATTTACCTTGAAAAACCGGGTTTTCTAAAAAAATGCACCAGAAAAAGCAGGTATTTGGAGTAGGGGGTAGGCTTAGACTCATATTACTTGCTGCGATAGGGAATGGCCCCTTTGCGGGTGTTGGACATGAACCGGAAGGGGGGTCCCTTAAAGGAAGCCAACTCGGGCATCGTTGTTAGGCGTCCTTCCATCTCTCATTTCCCTATTTTCATTCCTTTATAGGCGTTGAAAGGGGTCCTTCGATTTTAATTCATTCCGCATCGAGCCACCGAGATCTTTTCAGGGCATTCCTTCATGCGTTTCCTTTCCAGTGGAAGATCGGCGGTGTGTCTCGCGCGGGCTGAAGCCTGAGGCGAGAAGCGTTGGAGAAGGGCAAAGAAGCCGGAAAGAAGGAGTGCTCCATCAACACCTCCCGGAAAAACCAAAAACAACAAGGGGCCTATGCTGTGTGACACGTGCCCCGGTGAAACCCGGGTTTTTCTGATGAGCTTTTTTTTTGGTAGCTCCTGAGAATGTACTTCTGGGGGGGATTACCAGGGGTCAGTTTGTAGATCGGTAGAAGGACCCTTAGATTACTATCTCCCCACCCTTTCGGGCCAGTTTTGGCACGGCGAAATTGCGATCCCGGGATGTGAAAAAAAATGATTACACAGGAACATGATCCAGTTGCCCAGTGCTGCCCTTCTTTCAACTTTTTCTGGGAAGGGTTCCTTTGAAAGTCAACCAACCAAAAACTTGATGCATCCTGTCCCACCACAAGGGTTCTCAGAATTTCTCCAACCCTTCCAGACAGCTGGGGGCTGGGGGCTGGGGCTGGGGGCTTCAACGCAGTGCCCCCAGCCCCAGCTTTACCCTTTTCGGATCACCGTTCGGGGATGCCCCTGAAGGAAGCCCACGAGTTGTTTGGTTTCTGGGGTCATTGCATGTCTCATTCCCTGCGTCTCTCGCACCAGTTTCCCAGCCCAGAAAAGCCCCTGGCTAAAGGTTTTCCCTCTCACGGTTTCCCAAATGCCATGGTTTCCCAGTCAGCAACGCCATGGTTTCCCTGGCGGGGGGGTTAAGAAACGAGCAAAGGAGCAACACACGACCATTTACCCATTTAACGAGGAAACACTCGCCATTTACCATTTATCAATTTACCCATTTACCGACCATCTGCCATTTGCCCATCCCATTTACCCAACCCAACGAGCATGTGCCATTTAACCATTTAACCATTTACCGACCATGTGCCATTTACCCATTTACCCATTTGCCGACCATTTACCATTTACCCATTTACCCATTCAACGACCATGTGCCATTTGCCCATTTACCCATTTACCGACCATTTACCATTTACCCATTTACCCATTCAGCGACCATTCACCCATTTGCCAATTTACCCATTTACCGACCATTTACCATTTACCCATTTACCCATTCAACGACCATTTACCCATTTACCCATTTACACATTTACCAATTTACCGACCATTTACCATTTACCCATTTGGCAAAGGAGCAAGTTTTCCGGGCGAAGCAGGGAGCCCACTCCAGGAGCGCCAGCTGTGCCGGCTACGGGAGCAGCAGAACCTGCTAGATCAGCTGAACGCCACTCGGCCTTCAACGAGCGCGTTTTCACGACTGGGGCTCCCTGACCTAGGTCCCCCAGTGGTGCCCTTTCAGCCTTTTTTGGTTGGGAGGGTTCCCCTACTAAAATAGACGTCCTGAAAAAAATCGGGTACCCTTTTTTTTGGATCTAGATGGCCTGTGCGCAAGTGGGCGGCAAGGTAGATCTCACCTACGCCGTGTGCCTGAACCTTGCCATTCAGCACCAGGCCAATGACAATGACAATGAGGCCCGGCAACGCTCACTGAGATAGCGACACGGGTGCGAAGGTAAACCCCAATCACTCACCATCCCCCTAACAGCTGTTTTGTGTTTCCCCCATGTCCAAAGTCCCACGTACCGTTGGTTGAGAGGGTGCTGGCAACTGTCAAGTTTTTGGTTTGGGGTTTGCTGTAAGAGACGAGGTGGGGGTAGTCTTTGGATCCAAGTGTCCTTCTCACCTTTGCCCCAGTGTTTGGTGTCTTTTGGATTCCCTGGCAAGGGAACAACTTGTTGTTGGGTCCACATTTCGAGAACACCACGGGTCGACACGGGGTGCTAAATAACACATCAATGTAATACTGCAATGTTCCCAGAAACAAAAAACATGCGCGGGGACCTGTCTCTCCAAACATAACGGCTTGTTCGGGCCTGTTTGACCCGAAAAAGTTGTTTTTCTTTCTTTCCCCCCGAGTACAATGGCACAGGTCCCCATTTTCAGACCCCTGAAGGGGCCGCGCTCCAAATAATTCTCGTGGAATCCAAAGATCCAGGTGCTTGGGCACCCAGGCCGGTGCCCCTCGCCGGGAGGCCTTGACGATCTACACCCAGATCGTGAAGAACAAGCAGTATCCCTTCAGCGGGCGCTTCCGCGTGAACATGGGGAACATCTACTTCAAGCAGGAGAAGTGGACGGCGGCCATCAAAATGCCAGGCCCTTAGGTGCCCAGCATTTGGTTGGCGTGTGATGTGTTCTTTGAAGGTCACGAAAGCACTAGCTGGAGTTCTTCTACCTAAGCGTTGCTTAGCAATCAGGGGGTGTGCGGGGCGGGCCCAAATGCCTCGGGCCATTTTTTTTTAAAAGCGGAATGGGGGGCTTGGACTTGCCTGTAAAGCTGACCGATTTGAAACGCTACAACCTGTACCGTTGCAACTCTTTTGCGCAAAAGAAATGCGCCCGGTGGCTGACTGATTAGAAGCCGCCGGCCGGCCCGAAAGGGCAACGGGAGAGCCAGAACGAGGCTCCAGAGCACCAAATCAGCGCTTTTGGGCGGCTCCCGTCGCCAGTCCGTGCGTTTCGGGCCTCGTTGTGAGCCTCCCGTTGCAGTTTTGTGCTCTCGCCGGCCGACAGCCCGAAACGGCGAACGAGGACTCGTGTGCGCTCATGCTGCTTCCGCAGACCTCTCCGCAAAAGCCGCTTGCTCAAACCACTGCGCCGCGGGCTCCCTTCGCGCACCGGCGCTCGCCTGCTAGTCTCCCCCTTTGCTGTTCTTGGGCCGCGGGCGCCCGAAACCACAACGGGAGAGCGCGCGAGGCCGAAACGCACCAAATCGGCACTCTTCAGCGGCTCCCGCTGCGAATCCGTGCGTTTCGGGCCTCGTTGCGGGCCTCCCGTTGCAGCTTTGCGCTCTCGCCGGCCGACGGCCCGAAGTGGCAATGGGAGAGCCCGAGCGAGGCTCCAGAGCACCAAATCAGCGCTTTACGGTGGCACCCGTTGCGAATCCGTGTTTCGGGCCTCGTTCTGGGCCTCCCGTTGCAGTTTTGCGCGCTCATGCTGCTTCTCCAGACGTGGCGCGGCCGCTCCGGCGCTGGCCTGCTACTGTCCCCCTTTGCTGTTCTTGGGCCACGGGCACCCGAAACCGCAACGGGAGAGGCCGAAACGCCTCCCGTTGCAGTTTTCGGCTCTCGCCGGCCGACGGCCCAAAACGGCAAGGGGAGAGCCGCTCCAGAGCACCAAATGAGCGCTTTACGGCGGCACTCGTGTTCGCTCATGCTGCTGCTCCAGGCGTGGCGCGGCCCAGGCTCGAGCCGCAGACCTTTGCGCAGCAGTCGCTTGCTCGAACCACTGCGCCGCGGGCTCCCTTCGCGCTCCGGCGCTGGCCTGCTAGTCTCCCCCTTTGCTGTTTGGGCCGCGGGCGCCCGAAGCCGCAACGGGAGAGCACGAACGAGGAATGCGGGCTTGCGCACCAACGCGGGCTGAAATGCAGCGTTTGCGAGCTCTGCAAACGCAGGCTCTGCATTCGCTAGACCAGCAGTTGCAGCGCCTGGGCTACGAAACGGCGGGCCTGCGTCACGCAACGCCTCCTGCGCAACGCCGGGGCCATTGCCGCACCAATGCCGTAGCAAAAAACCTCGCGATCTCTTGCGCTTCCGTCACTTGCTGCCCCCTTGCGCATTGCATCGCATTGCATTCACTTCTCTCTCGCACAATGCTTTCGTTCCTGCAGAATCCGTTTGGGTGAGCCAATGTATATCTGGATCTTCCTTAGGTGCTGAATTTCTGCCTTTTCAGCAAAAACGGGTAACTCCAAAGTGGCACGGCAAATGGAGCCAAAGACTACCTCCTGCGCAGGTACACCCATGTGTTGTTTGGGGGGTACGGGCTTGACACCTTGGCTTAAGGGAAACCAAAAGGAACGCCACGATTTTGGGTGACAAGTACCCATGAGGCGGTGGTCAGTGGGGAAGACGCAACGAGCCAGTAGAATCAGCTTGGTTGTGCTGATATATATATATATATGTGTATATATATATTCTGGGACCGCTGTTGAGAGCTGATTTTACATGTTGAGGTTCAGTAAATATGGATAATCCCAACTTTGACGATACCGCATAGCACCCCCCAGTGTTCAACTCCAACCAGGGGGGCCAGTTTCTGACTGTTTTTAGGCACTGAGAGAATAACCCCCAAACCATTTTTCATGCTTTCCTTTCAGGGAATCCCTGGGTACATTCCCAAAAGCCAGACTCGTTGTCATTCCCTACCTATCCCACCTTTGCAAAAGGGCTTAATTCGAACCAGGGCCACCCCCGGACAGGTATGGGTCTCATTGCCCGAAATTGATCCAAGCTCCTCAGAGCTGACAGCCCATTCACTTCGGATTCATCGCTCAGGTATCGAATGGCTTTAGACCAGATCCCCAACAATGTGCAGGCCGGAGGTCCGGGCGCGTCCCACGCAGGGATTGCGTTTTTGGTAAACCCAGGAGGAAAAACGCCATTCTATTTATTTAGGTCTTAGTATCCCTTAATTTCTAGGATTTCCCCTGGGACACGTGAGCACTCGTTAATTTTGTTGCAAAGGCGCCGGTCTGGGCAAATTAGGAGGAGCTCACTTGGGGTAAAACGAGCTCCCCATGATTCAGGTCCTTCCGTGTTTGGAAGGATCCAGCGTTGCAGTGTGGCGTTTGAAAGGCATTCTACATGCAATTCAGGGACCCTACCACCCACCCAACAGAACTTCCCCAGCAAACACCATGGACCACGCCAAGCTCATAGTGCGCTAAGTCTACACGTGCCATCGTCGAAAGACCCCTTCAGCTGACCAGGGATGGGCATCCACCAAGGATCCTTAGCAACCGTGAAAAGGAGTCCTATGACCATAGGCCATATAAGGAGTCACATATGAGACTATATTGTTGTTGACGTAACAATAGGTTTCGGATTTCCAAAACAGGGGTGTTGAGGTTTCGATTTGAAGCAACTTAAGAAGGGGGGGCACCTTCAAAAAGCACATGTCCATTTGAGCAACGGACGCTGTATGATCATAGATATCGTTGGTGGTCTCCCACCAGTGTTGCATGTTGATAGATTCCATTTTGGGGTAGTCCAGGCCATCGGTTTCGTTGTTGGGTATTCAAAGTGACATCCCAAAAGTGTATTGTGGCCATTCCGGATTACTCTAAATTCCTCAAGTGCTTTGAGGGGCGAGTCCGTTGGGATTCTGATACGTCCGTTCGATATCTTTTGTGATCCGAAACGGAGGATGCCCTTTTTTGTGGCGTGTGATGCCCTTTTTGGGGTTGCTTAAAGGGAATCTCCTCCAGCTACAGCAACCAAGAAAATGGGTTGGAAGCCTGTGGCGTGCGGAGAACACTCGGAACATTCGCACAGGCGATCCGCTTCAAGATCATGCGCAACATCGGCCGCTGGGGCGATTTCTCGGTTTTGCAGTTCTGGCCGGTTTTTCCGGTCGGGGTCCCTACCCGGAGTCTCCTGTTGACCCTTTAAAAATGGGGTCCGCGCCCAAAATTAAGGGGTCATGGCCCCATTTTCTAGGGGTCGTGGAGACTCCGGGTCTAAGTGTATGTCAATATTCCGCCATTGTCGGGTCCATGTGGGCTGATCTTGGCCCAACTTCGTCGTATATCACAAAACTTGGTGGCGCAACCAGCCATCCGGTTCCTTAGCTTTATACATATTTTCAGGGTTTAGGTTTTTCGTTTTAGCCCACTAGTTAGTCACTTTTTTTGGGGGATCTGAGGACAGTCTAGCTGATGTTGTTTCATGTTTAGTCTATACCCTTGACGAATACCGCAAACTCGCAGGGACCTTATGTACAGGGGCTGCCTGGATTTCCCCAAAAAGTTGATCATTTGACTGGGCTCGGAAACCCTAAGGCTTCCATGTTAGCACCTCTAAAGCCACCTGAGTCGCTTGCTCAAAACCGATTCGGGTAGATGACTTCCATTTGCTGAAATAAATATGGTTTTATTTTCCCCTGTTAGGTTTAAAGGGAATCTATCACTACTGGAAATATGTTTTATTTGTTCAGAGGGCTTAAGCAAATGGAAGATGAAGGGTAAGGGATGATCCCTACCAATGGGTGTAGCCGCCTGTTTGCTTCTTTACCTGGTTCTGGGGATCACCCATTTTTGTCCGAGCGGTTTTGATTGTGACTCACCTCCGTTTCTGAGCCTTTCTCTTTTTGGGGCGAGGACCCCTGTTGGGGTTCTTCCTGCAATGGGTTTGACTCCGATGTCACTTGTTTTATGTCACCCTTGTGCGAACCCAGCAGAGTAAGAAACCCGGTTGATGTTGATTGGGTGGGCTGTCCGATGTCGAGGCCCTCGTTGTTTTTATTATTCTTGTTTTCTTTTCTCTCAATGATGGGTCGACAATTTTTGAAGGGGCAAGGAAGGGGCGGGGCGGCCTTTGTATTTTCTGGAGCGAGATGCGGCACAGCCAACTGTTTCACTCTTATCTCTCCTTAATGTCCTAATGTCAAGATTTATAAATCAAGGTGGACACAGACCATCGGTTTCCCTTTCTGGGTCCACGGTTAATATAACATCGTGCATCGTTCCTTTCTGCCAGCGCGATTTTAGGTTCGGGTTGAGCGTTGGCCTTGCTCGACGGGGGGCGAACACCTCTGGTTGCTGAGGTCATGCATTCTTCAAGATGCACCAATTCCCAGATGCCATCGACTCGTGCGCCTGATCAGTTTCTGGCACTGGGACTGGACAGTTTGGCACTTGTGAGAAAGGAGTCATAGGGATAGCCCGCTTTGCCACAACATTGGCAGCCCACAACCATGTAAATATACGGCATTTAGACAATCACGCAACCAGGCTGCGGATTGAGGGAACCATGACAAGCGTTCAGGAGTCTCAACCATGGCACGCACAAAAAGCGACTCAAGCAGCCAAGAAGGACAGGTATTAGGACCTATATGGGCGTCATCTTTTTTGAGGAGACCTTTTTTCGGGTGGGTCTAAACGGACGCCTTGGCACATATGCAGTTGTTCAGGGATCCTTTTTTTTCAGACAGACGGCAAGCACAGAGGCAATCTAAACCAAACGAACCCAATGCTCTTGTGGTTCCCCTATTTTGAGACAAACCCATGTCCTCTCCTAGAGAATCTCTGAACCTTTTGTATGAAAAACAAGTTTGAGAAAACGGTCTGCATGCGGCGAATCTGTGAATCCATCCCTGACCTGAGGTAAATTGAGTGCGAAGGATTGCCCAAAACTACAGACCAAAACTAACACGGGCAGGAACCAGTGCAATCCATAGAATGCAATATCAGTTAACTTGTTTTGTTTGCTTCCCAATGTTTAAACCTTGTTCTTTGGGAATGCCCTACCGTTTTCTGATCTCACATCGTACAGACCAAGAAATCAACAACAAACGGTATGCAAGGCACTCAGGGTGCCTCAGAATCAAGCACTCCATGTACATGGCCGGGCTTTGGTGTGACCAAATCGCCTCTTTGACCTTTTGAACACGAGCTCACTTCCTGGCAATTCTACGCAGGCAGTGAGCAAATTTCTTTTTAGGGCCCCTTCAGACCCTCCCAAAGAGCAATTTCAGGATTAAGGGTTAACGGGCCTTCTGAATTCCAAATTGGAGCAATACTTCCCTATCCCTTTCATCTTTAGTTGGGAGGGATTGGTTGCCTGCCCTACTTCGGTGTGTGTTAATGTGTGTGTGTGTGTGTCTGTGTTTCTTGAGGGTACCCTTTTTTAGATTGGTTTAAAGGGCAGACACGGGGGTCCCCTGCTTTGACGTACCCGCTTTCCCCATTCGGTTCAGGGATAGTAATTATTGTCAGAAAGATGACAAATGACAAGAAAATCAATCAGTGGGGTGAAAATCCATGGCAACATTCCCCTTCTGTTGGTTTAGTTTAGTCATTCCTTTTGGAATTGTCCCGCATACTTTCCCCCTGCTATGTATAGTCCTATGTATTGTGGTCTCCGCGGCATAGCAAGCAACTCTTAGCGGTCTGTCCAACGACTAAGATGTTTTCCAGCAGTGATTTCCCAAATAGTAGGAAATAGTGACAATGGCCGGAGGGGGAGAGGTAATTGACCTTCAGAGCGGACGCCCCACAACCAGCGCATCTTGCATCCACTCAGAGGTTTTGTGTTTCACACCTCTTCGCACCAAGACAACATGTGGTTGCTTCAACTGCCTGACACCTCAAGATCGGCTCCATCCGCAGTTGAGGCGCGGATGTATGCTCTTTCGACCAACTGTTTTTGTTTTGTTATATATATATATACATGTTTTTGTTCTTCTTCCGGAAGGGGGGTGATTGTAGGGCAATCCTTTGGTCCTTCCATATCCTTGCATATCCTTGCCTTCCGAAAGGTTTTGGTCCTTCCATATCCTTGGGCGCTTTCCTTCGCCAACCTATCTGGTTGTGTGACTCGGCTTCGGATTGGCCAAACCATAGGGCCGCCTAAGCAAACAAAAAAAAAACATTTCGCCATACCCTCGTGTGAAAACTATTTGGCCATGCTTCGCCTTGGACTTTTAGATGTTTGGAGTTCAGAGGGAACCGCTTGCGCGGGACGCATGAACCACTAAGTTCAGTAAAGCCAGAAGGGTGTGTCGGAATTAAGGCGACCCACTCAAATGGATTGTGGCATTGTGGTTTTCCTTTTTTGGTGTCCGTTTCCTTTTTGTCGGCCCAGATTATGGTTTTCCTTTTGGGTTTCCTTTTGAAACCCATCCAAAAAAATCACGGGGGGCCAACTCCCAAAAGGGACGAAAGCTAGCCTCTCGCTGGGCCGCTCAAGAGTTCCACAGCTCCCTGGGGCTTTCTTTTAGATCCATGGTCCGGTCCATGGTGTTTTTCCATGACACAAATCCTCATTGGGTGCTTTTGTTGGCGGCCCATGAAGGTCCATGTCGCTTTTTTTGTTTCTTTCCCCCTGTTTAGACCAACCCCTTCTTGGGTGTTGTTTTTTTGTCGAAGGTCCATGAAGTTTTGATTTGTCTCTTCTTTTTGACAGAGCTGGTTCGGGGTCGCGGCGTAGGTATGAGAACCTCTTGATGCACGGGGCGCAGCATTTGGATTTCATGACCGGCAGCCTCCTCAGATGGGGGCCGCGCGATGGAAATCCAAAGCGACTGGACTCCTTCAAGTGGTTACAGTTTGAGGGGTTCTTCAATCATGGAATCCTGGAATCCCTAAACCAGGGTGTGTGGTCCAAGGGCCGGGGTAGAAAGCCCCAAGCAACCCTCATCCGGTGTGGTAAACCCTCATTCTTCAAATTCTCACTTCCTGAGTTCCTGGACTTTACATATTTTGCAGGTTTGGACCATTTCTCAGTTGTTCAGTGGCGCCCTTTTCTCTTTTTTTGGGGAAAGGGTTCCCCTTCAAAGTCAACCAAACAAGGACGCCCTTTTGTTTCCCATGGCTACTGGGCATCTGAGATTTTAGCGGCAAACGAACAGTTAAAACCTTTTGGCCAGTCCACTTGATGGGTGAGACTTGGCCCGCACCCCTGGGGCATGGATCTGGATGACCTTTGTTCCGGACTTTGAGCCGAGCTGATGGACCCAGCGGGCACGCAGCAACTGTAAGTAGCTCCGAGTTTCCAGGTCCCCCAGCTGCCCTTTCTCACCCAACTTGTTCGGTTGGGAGGGTTCGGGACCCTACTAAAAAGAGACTACAGGAAAAGAATCGGGTACCAACTTGTTCTGACCTCTCTACAGGACCTAGTCTTTGATTCGATTCGCGAGGCAAGTTTGAACTCCGCAGGATGGCATCCCAAATCGGCTTTCGGGCTCCTGGCTTCGGCTGGAAGACCCAGACCCTCCATTGAACACTCCTCAGGGGTTTTGGGTCTCAAAACCTGGCTGTTTGAGGGCCAAACATCAATCGGGCGCGTTTGGGTGGTGCTTGTTATGTTTCCTTCGTTTGCCCATTAACCCAGTGAAAAATGTCAAATGTCACGTTTGTCCAGAAGGTTTTTGCTTGGCTCATAATTTAGCGCAGGCTTAATGCCAGACATGCCGGGATTTTGTGATTCCGCCATGCAAAGCATCAACGAGTACGTGTTTGAGCGGCCTGAAACGAGGTTTGTCATTCGATTGGTTGGGTTTCAAGCCCCCGTCGTCCACAAAGCCCCGACCTGGCAAGTCTTAAGCCTTACGGGACTTTGACTTTCTTCTTGTGCTTGAGGCTTCAACCTGATCCTGTGCTACTACGCACTGGGGGACAAAGACAAGATGAAGAGCGGCTTCTTGAAACTGCCTGTGCCTCAGGAATCTCATTTGTTCGGACCATCTAGGCTTTCATTCTCCCATTTTGTTCAGAGATTATCATCCTGTGCCTCTTACCAACTAGCATGGAAGTGCCAAAAGGCCCTTTTTAAGAGAAAAGTCGTCTTTCTACAGGGGTCTGTGCACTTCCACGTTAGCTGGTGGGAGCGCTTTAAACTTTGCGGGACCGTTTGAGTGACGGGAAGAAACGTTCTGAGTTTGGACCTTCGGCCGCCCATTTGACTCAGAACCCTTTGCTAAGCGTCAGAGCCGGGCGGAAGCTGGGGAGATTTGGGGAAGGGTTCCCCCACTCAAATAGACTCAGACTTATTCTATCCTCTCTACTGGAGGACCTAGCCACAAATGAAATTGGGGACTACAACTCCATTGCTAGTTCCATTTTTCCTGACCACTGGGCCCCTTCTTCCTTACGGGGGGGCGGAGGATGGAAACATAGACACTAGAGAGGACGTGACTTGAAAGTTTTTATGGGGGGACAAGTTCCCAAACGGCACACACATGTCCACCTAAGACATGTCCGCCAAGGGTCCCCATTTGGCTGTGGCTCAAAAACATGTACCAAAATGGCACCTTGGCAAATGGAACCGAAGACTAAAACCTGCGTAACCCTAGTTCATTAATTTTGAGCCACACTCGTTTAAGCATCTACAAAACACTAGTATATTAGCGGCTTTCGTTTTAGCTCGGATACCTTCATGAGTTTTGCCAACATTGCAGGGCATGCCTCTCTGGTCCAATATGAGTGTGCCTCCAAGGAGACATGGGTATGGGCCAAAACTAAGGCACCAGGATATGTTTTTAACGGTGTCCGTTTACACAGCTACGGCAAGCCATTTTGCCCTATGTTTGATCAGCCACATGTGGGACTTGCCAGCCACATGTGGGACTTCCCGAAACGTGTTGCTACTGTGGATGGACGAAATCCTGCACCACTTTGAAACCATGGGACACCATTGCTTGTTGGTATCTGTGGGGGGAATCATCCTTCCAGGGTTTCTTAGGTGGTGCAGGATTTCGTCCATCCACAGTACCAATTCCCGAATTGTTCAGGGCAAGTGAGATTTCCCTTCCAACATCGCGGAACGGGGAACGGATCGATCCCTTGCCAACAGAATCCTGCACAATTGAATCATGTTAGGTCCCCAAGTAGTGTTTTTTACCGCCTTTTTTGGGGAAGGGTTCCTCTACACAAATAGACTACAGAAAGAATGGGTACCCTTATTCTAATCTCTCTACTGGAGGACTTAGTTTTTTTCATCGGAGGATGGTGGATTGGAGAAGAAGGGATTGACTGTCTTTCAAGAGCCCTGCCTGCTGAAGCATTCATGGTTGTTGTTGGGACACATTTTACATTTTTGCTTATTGTGGTTTAGTGGTTGAAATCCAACCACTTGGCTGCTAAAGTTTAATTTTTTGCTCCCCTTCCAACGTCAACCAAGAATTGTGACTGACATCCTTACGCCTCCATCTTGTGGTATTTTGTTGCGGACCCCACAAACCCGATGGCCACCTCGTGAGAATCCTCAAGTACCAAGGCCTTTGGGGGTGGTTTGTGGCTGGACCATTTGCCAACTTGTCAGCCTTGGGGGATTAAGCGCAAGTGGGCACCCTGAACTTCCAACCACAACTCTGTGTTTCGACCTTTTTGCCTTTTGGTTTGTGGGTCCAAAAAACAGGGGGGGGGTCAGCAAAACAGGGTCCCCAGATAGAACAAGCTGAAATTCGATTTCAGAAGTAAATGCTGAGCCGAGTGTCCCTTGAAGTGCCTTTGAAGCGCCTTTGAAGTTTGAAGTGCCTTTGAAGTGCCTTTCTTTCGTTTTGCATGCTTTTTAGCGTCGCGCGGAGTCGCTCTGCATCCGAGAGAAAGAGAGAGAGAGAGAGAGCCAAGTGTCCCGAGTTTCGTTTCTGTTTCAGCGCCGCAAAGCCTCACCCGCGCGCACGCCGAAGCTGGGCTCAGCTGGAGGGGAGGTTCTCACCGTGCTTGAACTGCCAGACACTCAGGTAGCTGTGGGTCAAAACCAATGGTAGCTGCACCACCCATTTTAGTCTATTTTAGGGGGATTGGGATGTTCACTGGGGGTACGGGATTTTGACCCATGGCCAGGTGGGTCGGGGGGGTGCAAGTTGCCTCTAGCTTGGATCTCATCAGCTTTTCCTTGTGTTTTTGGCTTTGCATACTCAACAAGACGTATAGTCTGAATATATGTGGTTTACCCAGGGCTGGGCCAAGCTGGGGTCTTTCCAACGGACACTACAAGGCTTGTTGTCAGAGCTGTCACTGCGTTGTTCAGTGGGCTTCTTCGTAAAACTCAGCCCCCCCTACTGTGGATGGACTAAATCCTGCACCACTTTGAAACCAGTACTTGTTGGTATTTACAGGGGAATCATCAGAAACAGGGTTTCTTAGGTGGTGCAGGATTTCGTCCATCCACAGTATCATTCAGGGTTCTGATGAATTTGGCGTCGTGGGGCGCACACTTCAGGGTTCCCTAACTTGGTTTGTCTCAAAAAACAAATGCAGTTTGCCCCGTGAAAACAACACCATGACATGAAGCTGCACCCAACAACTGCTTGTGCACAGTAATTACTTGCGATTTTGGGGATGGAAACAAGCAGTTGTTGGGGGATGGGTAAAAAACACGAGTAACCCTATTTTGGGTTGTCCATCGGTGAATGGAGACATGGACTAAAACTGCCGTGTTTTCTGGTACTTTAATTTTGACCCGTGCCGCATGTGAGCAGTGCCTCCTATTACTTGCCGGGCCTAAGCAATAAGAATGGGGCTTTGGTGTGAACCTAACACGATTTCGTCATGATTCATGAGCACCAAAGAACAATGTCCGTAACTTTGGTGCATTTTGCTTGGCTGCTAGGGCTTTAACTTTTTGCCAACTAATGGGTTTTCCACTAAACCACTAAAAGTTAGACTTTTAGCAGGGAGCAGAAAGCAACCGAGGAAACTTGTTCTAAAGTCAGATACAAAAACACAAGTCTAATTCGATCTAGTTATGATCCACAAGCAGAGACCAACGTACGCAACCGGGAGCCAGATCAGCGCCGTCTTTTTTGGTGGCTGACTTGAATAGCTGCCATGGCATAACCAAATACCAACAGACTTCTTTGGTTATGCCTTTTTGGTAGCAGACTTGTGGTATGTGGCGCAAAACAGCGGCCCCTCAACAAAAACAGTCGGTTTCACCTGGATCTCCCGTCAACTACCAACCAGAAGGGGTTCCGAATCCCGTTTTGCGAATCCCCTTGGCGGCGGTGGGATGGGTTCGCCGGGTTCGCCTTCGCGCCGCCTGAGGATTTTTTTGGTCCCGGCGATGGGGCAGGCCCTTGGCGACACCTGCTGTGCGGCGCTGTATCCAGAGGAGAGGGAGCGGTCTCGCTAATTATTTGCCCGATGTTTGTTATTTATTTTTTTGATTAAATGGCTATGAGTGCGTGTCCTTTTTAGACACCAAAAATGGTGGGGTGTCCTTTTGGTGTTCCAGCCAAACCAGAAAAGAGGGCACTTTCAAGAAAGGACACCACAGCCTTTGTCATGAGCTTCTGGTCTATGATGGGCTTACATGATGGCCAACTTGCTGCTCCTATCTTCATGGCTAAATGCTAACGTATCTTAAAGTCTTAAACTGAATAACTTGTTGTTTGAACCAGCCCTGATTTTCCGCCTTGGACCCACATAAGGCTAGGCACTGGACTCGGCCAGGACACCTATTGAAAGATTGGGGGCCTCGAACCCAAGATGCGTCAAATGGAAAGTGTGCGAGGTCGTGACGTGAAGGTTGATTTTTCTTAGGGAGCTCTTGTGTTCGGTTGGGAGTGCGGCGTGCAGTGCACATGCAATTGCTTCTTGGTTTTGAGTAATTGTACGGTTTGTCAGCTGCAGGCGATTTGCGTCTCTTTGGTCTTTCTCTTTCTTGTTCTTTCGCTGTCCCGTTGTATTAATTATCCTTATCCTTCTCTTTGTTCTCTTTTGTGTCTTTTTTTCTTTCGAATCCTTTTTTTCTCTTTCTCTTTCTATGTTCCTTTCTCTTAATCTCTCTTTCTCTCTCTCGCTCTCTCTGTCTCTCAGTCTCTCTCTCACCCTCCACCCAACAAACGTTGCTTTGGGCTCGACCGGAAAAATAAACAAAACTCCGCAGAGAGCTGCGACCAAACGGACGCCACGCCGTTTTGACGCACTGAACGGGAGACTTGGCCGGAGATGTGGCCCATGCTCAAGCGACGCAAAGTCAGGGTTTGGTTCTGGACCTTGTGCGTTTGGAATTTGAAAAAAAAGGAAATTTGCAGAACCAAGTTGGTACTCTGGTACTCTTATTCTAACCTCTCTGCTGGAGGACCTAGGTTGGTTTGCGTTTGCGGGCTGGCCTTGAAGCTCCAAAGCTGGCGGGCCCAGCTTTGGGCTGCTCAGGCGGAATGAAGGAAGGATCCGCTTCCCTTTTTGAAGCCCTGCCCCTAAGCCACGGGAGGAACATGGCCTCGGTTTGTTGTTGGGAAACATGTTTTTTCCATTTTTGCTTATGGTGTTTCTCATTTTTGGCCTTATTGTGGGAGTTAGTGGTTGAAATCCAACCACTTGGCTGCTAAAATTCGGGAATTGTTGCTCCCCGTTCAACGTCAACCAAGGAACTGACAGTCTGTCGCCGCTTTGATCCAGCCGATGCACCAGATCCTAAGATCACTTGTCCAAGGTTGAGGCTCTCCTGCGCACCACGCGCGCTGTTACGCTTCCGGACCTCCGGATGCTGGCCTTGTCCACTCGCAAGCCACTGTCCGTCGCTTCAGGACGCTGCAATTTGATCGCTCCTTGGAGATGTCCCGGTTTACGCGAAAGACGGGGACGGGAGGTGGATGTAGGCCAGCCATGGGTTCTGTGTAACGACTGATCGTAGAGGTATAGTTGCAATTGTAATTCTGGGACTGACGTTTTCGGATGCTTTTGTGGATGTCAGAGCGGGCT